TTCATTCATTTAATGCCACCGAGAAAAAAAAAAAAAATAAAAAAAACCAAACCGAGTTTTAATCAACATATATAGAGCCCGTAATATATTATATATATAATATTAAAATAACGACACATATTATACACCTAACCGACACGAATTTATTGAAAAATCATTTCAATTAGCGTCAATCACGTTTTTGGCTAGATATTGTAATGAAGCGGTAAATAGTAATAATACGCAGCTATAATACCTGCACCGTCTACCCATCTGGCATAATACGGAGCGTTTTCCGCAATAGAATATTATCGCGCTCGTATACACGATTAACATACTCGATTCATTAATAACGTAAAATTATTCTCCCCGTACGGTTCTGATGCGTGAATCGCACATTACGTATTATACGGTGATAACACGTAAGTGCCCAAGTATTATTATAGGTACCTACCGACGCGCATAGATTAGTGCTGGCGTGATCTGTTTATTATTTATCAGTTAATCAATTTCCACTACTGCGAATATTTTATTATACCACTATACCATAATCGCAGGTATCTATGTTAGTGTCTGTATGCAATTAGGATATTTTCTACTCAAGAAATTTCTGTCATCTGAGCATAACCAGAAAAATGGAAGTTTTTACGTCTGTTTTCGATTCGTTACTTTTGTGCAGTATTAGCAACAATCATTTTAAAAAGGAATTATTTCCTTTAAGCGTTCCTTTTTTTTTTTTATTTGAAAACCTAATGCAGTCCGAAAAAAATCGTTTCCTTATTTGAAAATATCACTGGTTAATTCACTTTAGAAATATTGTATTTATTTGCCACTTAAGGTTTTCATGAGTTATTCATTACTTAGTCACTCTATACTTGTGTAGACACCAAATGTTCATAAAAAAAAAATAAGTATTAAAATGAGTTAATCAAGTCAACTAAAATGGAAACTATTCTTATTTCTTGGAATCAACATGTTTAAAATCCTAATAAACTAAATTAAATTAATTTCTTATCCTAAAAAATGAAAATGAAAAACCATATAATTTGAAAAAAAAATCATTAATTCACCCTAAAATTCAAATTCAAAATATAATATAATTAATAGTTTATTTACAATATAAATTTAAAAAAAATAAGCAACTAAAACCCTAAATGACTTGTTAAACTGAAAAAAAACTCTATAGCGGTAGGACCACCCCACACCATTTTAAACAATTATCACAAAGACAACGATTATATCACAGTTATCTAATTATACATACCAACATATGTAAATAAAAAGGTAAAAATAACACATTGTGCTATTCTTGTACGATTCTGAGCGGAATTCAGTTTATGGTGTTGCTTTGTCAACAATATATAAAGTATATTATGATAAAATAATTACAAATACATTAAACATTTTCTTTATAAATATTTGTTTAATATTGTACCTATTTTTCTGTTCAACCGATTTTTCAATGTTTTTTTTTTTTACTTTTATTGAGAAAACTACAATAGAAAAATCAAAAAATTACCTCCTTAAAGAACCACCCCAGTTCTTAACAAAATTGCTAATAGAAAAGTTGTTCACAGAAAAAAAAAATAAACATCATTGTAAAATCATGAGCTTCTTCGCTCCACTAAGAATCTAAAAGCTTTATCACTAACCTAAAAGACTTTCGAAAACACGGGCTAATTATTTATACGAATGGAAACGATATTTCGTTATCAAATAGTATACTACAATAGCTCGTTTTAACAAAATATAGTGTATCTTTTTACACCTAAAATATCAAATATTTTGTACTACACACTTGATATTATTTAGTATACACAAATGCATAAGGGGCTTCGCTTTCCAAACAAACACGCCCCCCTCACCCAAATAATACTTATGTTTTATTAAAATGGAATTAAAATTGCGTTATAATTTTCATAAGTCATTAATAAATAGTATAATATTTTTAAAATATTTAATTAGAATTACTGCATTTTTAAATCATAAGGATAGAGATTTTATAAGAGTTTTTACCCAAAACACCATGGAACCATTTTTGGTCGATAACTTTATCACGGATTCTGGAATGGCGGTGCATGGCATTAATCCATGATATAACTGCGTTGAATAGAATACGTTTTGTCAATGGTGGCGAGTTTAATTTTACATAGAGGTAATTATCTTTTATATAGTATCAGGTAAAGCCGACCGTCTAGCCATTACCTTCAGACATTATACTTATGGATTCAGGGTTGGTGGTTTAGGTTCTACATAAAATATATTTATTACAAATTAGTGTTTAATAGTTTTAGTATCTAATAAATCAATATTAAATATAGATTTTTTGTAACAATTATGTAACAAAGGAATAATAACGATTTGAACGCCATCTATTAGTTTTTCACGGTCACATTAATACTATTACATGCATAGTAATATTATTTATAGCTACGTTTTATATTTTATATTTTTATATAAGTTTATACTTGAAGTAAAGAATAAGATTATTTCAATAAGAGATTAGATAAATAAATTGTAATTAATTCGGCACACTTCTTTTTCTTAAAATTAATTTTTTGTTAGTTCGTATTTTTTATATCCTCTTAAAGTCCCGTGATACCATTCACAAAGCATTTTCTCTATATTTTCACGAATAATTGAAGAAAAAAAAATGTACCACGGCCTATAAAATAGATCGTGAAAGGAAGAATACAAATAATGATGTAGGTTTTCGGTGCCGTCATCTGCAACCGTAAGAATTTCACTCCTAAAATAGTGAGTGAACTAAATAGATATCAATAGATAGAGCCACGAATTCATCCGTTCAAAGTTCGAAATGCATGAACGAAACATAAAGTATGTTCATATATTTTATTTGAATTAGTTTATAGGTTCTGAGTGTAGCGAAGAATATATTAGTTTTACTAAGATGTTTATTTTTTTTTATTTTTTTATACTGTGTACAAAAATTCTACCAGAAATCTTGCTCCAATATGTATGCGGGGCACCATTTCTAAAAGGAAATATTTTCCAGAAAGTACTTTTAGGGGTTAATTTTCAATTTTTTAAGCGGTTTGTATAATGTATGGGAAAACCAAGATAAAACGTAAAAAAACACGTCAAACAAACAAATTTGAGTTTAATGCAGTATTTTTTTTTTTTATAAAGAAATGTTAATAATATCGATTTTTGATGAAAATCTTTCGATTAAAAAATTATATGGAATAAAACTTACGTAAGCTTATGATTTTTGTTTAGTTTTTTATTTTTATCTGTGCGCAACTTTTATACCAGGCGACTTGCTCAGATTTCTAAGTGTAGAATGTGTTTGAAAAGTTGAGCACAGAAAAAAACATCATAATACTTTATTAAATTATTTCTAAGGTTCTACACTTTTAGAAATAATTTAATAAAGTATTATGATGTTTTTTCTGTGCTCAACTTTTCAAACAGCAATTTCGCTCCAACTTTTAATGATAGCAGTATTTCTAAAAGGAAATTTCACTAAGGAAATACTTTAATGAGGTTATTTTTCAATTTTTTCATGAGGTTTCTCATCAAATTTTAAAAACCGAAAAGAACGGCTAAATATAAGAAATGTAGGTTTAGTTAAATATATTAAATATATTACGGCCTTTTTTATTTCTGTGCACACCTTTTTAACCAACAATTTTGCTCCAACTTTTAATAACAGCGATGTTTTCTCAGGAGTTCTCTCATCAAATTTTAAAAACCGGTGATTACCCTCTGTGTACATTACATCACTTTCAATCTGTCTGTGACATTAATCTTATCCTCTTTTGTTGTCCATCTCTTTTCTCAGAGCGTCTGCGCTTTTATTCCCTTCCAAACTCTTTTAATATGCCACCCAATCTCCAGCACCTTTTTTCTCCTCAATTACAAGAGATCATCTGGGCCACTGTTTCCTTTATTTTAAACACCGGACTGCTTATTTAGGTTTTAGCTCTTATATATTATAACGTTTTTTTTTTTTGTTTTTTTTAATCTTCTATAATAATTGTCGAGACTAATTGTTTTATCTTGCAAAGTTTTTTTTAAAAATAAACAAAATTACACCCACGTAGTATCAGGTTCAAATCCTAACTCAAATTGAAATAATAATTCACTTATTGTCGTTTATCTATTCATGCAATATTATGGTAGAAAACATAAACTCAACTTTTTTTTACTACTAAGTTAAACAGCTTATGATGAACCTTGTATACAATTTGTTTGCATTTCTAAACAATTTTATCCATATTGAGCCAAATAAAAACTAAACAAAAGAACTTATACTGAGGATGGGAGTGGCCACTGTTGTAGGTGAGAAGTTGGGAAGGTAGGATACCTATGGTTATTTCATTTATATCTATAAGCAACGATAATTCATTGCTTGACGAAAAACGATTCCAAGCGCAGTTCGATAAAACATAATTTGAAGTGCCGTAATTTTGTTTGCGAGTTTTCTTCAAATTTGATTTCAAAACGCTTATTAAAAAGAAAAAGGCTTCCGATGATTTTTGGAAATTTCACCACGTCTAGGTAAGTCCAATATGTATTATTACCAATTTTTAAGTATATTTATAATCGAATTACAGCAAAAAACTCCCAAAAATTAAAATTCCTTAAAAACTCTAAAATGGCTCAAAAGATTTGGCAATAATACCACAAGAAAGTAAATTTAAAAAGCAAAAAAAAAGATATCTTGCTATTTTTCGATTAAATTATTTTTTCTGTTAGAAAAAATCGTCCGTGTTTTTATAAAACAATGAAATCGTGAAATTGTACGTTTTCCTATGTTTTTTCTCACTTAAGTGCTTTTATTTAAAAAATGACGTTGAAAATCAAAAAAAATGACTTCTTATAGTACTTTCTAGACAATTTGAGTAAAAAATAAATTATGTTAATATTTGCAATGTAATAATAAAAAAACCACAGCTAAAAAATGCTATAATTTAATTAAAAATGATCTCAACTTGTATAACATTAAAAGCAATTATATTTTTCGGGGAAAAGGCGAAGTATATCCTCATTAACTCTCATCTTGGTATTGGTTCGATCGAGGGTTTATTATTGGATTCGTAATAATTGGTGTTCAAATCTAGATCAATCATTTTCTGGTCAATCCAGTTTCTGAACTTTGATACATCCGTATATACACCCGGACTTCTGGTACCGCAAGCGTATCCCCACGAGACAATGCCAGCCTGATGAAATTGTTTGGAATCATCCGGATTAGGGCACATCAAAGGACTTCCACCATCGCCCTTTTAAACAAAATATTGGTTTGGCATATTAAAAAACGTACAGTAATTATAGTATACTAACAGTAAATTCACGCTTACTACTTAGGTATGTTTTATACCGATTCGCATAATGATTTTAAAGACACACGTCAGTAAAAAAAAGAAGAGCATACTCAATTTACACTTTGCACCATGAGTGTGCCACTATTATAGGTGAGAAATTGGGAAGGTAAGATATAAAGAGTAATTTTATTCATAACTGTACATTAAACAACTACATTACGCCCAACTTTTTTACCATCAAGTTAAACTTATAATGCGCCTTGTATACAATTTGTATGAATTTCTATTCGACTGAAATATTATATCCACATAAAACCAAACACGGAAATTTCAAATCGAATAAAATTGGTAAAAATAAACAAAATATTTTGAATACTTTACCTCAACTAGAAAAGCTAATATAAGTATTTTGAGAAAATTTCAAGTTTCTACGATTAATTTTACAGAATACTGCAACAAAAATATTAATTCGAAAATAACAGAAACCGTTATTGCGTAAATATTCCCTGTTCTCCCCCTTTATAGGTTAAAACCAGACAGAGTATTTGATGGGTCACTGATATCCTGTCTATTAATTTGTACATTGTTCGACCATTTCCGTCACCACTCATTAATGCTTAATCGGTCTTTATTAATTTTTGTCCGTTTGAGTTTTCGTGATTTAAGACGATTTGGGGAAGGATTTTTATGTGTGATGGATAGTTTAGAATAGTTTATAAGATTTAGTTTTTCCCAAATACGATTAACAGCTTCTTTCCGTCTACACTCAACACAGCTGCCTTGGCGATAGTGTACTCTACCGCTGAATATTACTCCTACGTTTGGCGAAGTAGCACTCGTATAGAAAAATTAGATGTTCTACTAAATGAGAATATGCGAATAAAAAATTCATCACACATGATAGTAAAACCAATACACTTCTCGGTCCAATCAGAAACTAAAAATCAAAAACTATTATATTGTTTACCTACGTGACTATACACTAAACTAGGTATCTGATGTATACTAACTTGGCAAGTATCTCTGCCAATTTCTCCACCAGCACAAATGAAACTGTCGTGTAATTCAAAATTCGGTTTATTCCCGTCTAGTCTCAACTGTGCCTGGCAAATATCGCGGGGCACGATCGGCAGTTCGATTCTTTTCAAAATAGATTGTGCAGAGGCTTCTTCACCTATAAAAGACACGAAGAAACAATATAATACTAAAATAAATAAATATTTAATAAATTATATGTTTGGTTCCGGAGAAGCGCCTAAATCAATTTTGTACAAATTAATTAAATATTTAAAATATATACACTTACACGTAAACTAATACACTAATACACTGCGTACACTAATTCTGAAAATACACTTATAATACACAATAGAGAATATACACTTATGCAATTTAAAAAATTAAAGGGAAGACAAGATTATAAAGAAAAAAAAAATGCCAATAATTGACTTATGCACTCCTTGCCTGGGACCAAAGATTTATGATAAATAGTCACGACGGGGCGATGAAGATTTTAGATACCCTATCCACCGAGTCAAAGTACAAACAAAATGTATATAAACTATTTAGCAATGAAGACTTACTTCTAATAAAACAATAACCATTGGACACATGGTCGTACTAGCTATATAATTTAAGACAGGAGCCGCTTCTTGTATTAATATTATGGGCTGTGGGCCCGGTGCTAATATAAATTTGTACTTTCAGATTCTCAGCTGAGAGAACTGAATTCCTCAACTGAGGAATGTATTGGTTTTACAACGATGTTTATTTTATTTTTTCTATCTGTGAATAACTTTTCTACCTGAAATCTTGCTCCAATTTTCAAGTGTAGCACTTTTTCTGAAAGGAAATCTGATTAGGGTGGTACTATAAGGTGGTTTTTTGATATTTTTTTTTCCGATAAATGGGAAAAACATAAGAAAAACAGGAAAATAGATGCAATATTAAACAAATATTATTTAAGAAATGTTTAATGCATACGTAATTATTATACTATAATATAACATAATGTCAGATAATTATAAGAAAACAACACGTGTTGACAAAACAACACTACCAACCGAACTTCACTCAGAACCTTTTTTTTCGTAAGCAATGGTTAATCGTTGCGTACAGATATATATTTAATTCACATCTATATATCCTACTATAACTTCCCGCCTACAACAGTGGATGCACCCGTACCCATCATCCTAGGAAAATTTGTATATTTGTATTAATAACATATTTTATTGATACTATTATGGAGTCGAATTTAATTCTTTATTTTTAACAAAATTCGGTACTAAGTCATAATTTATTATAGTGCTAAAAACTTGTGAATATATTTGCGACAATTGTTTGCATATACATATTGTATTTCATTTGATATTTTCTATCTTCGTTGCTCAACATACAAGTTTACAATTGAAATGTTTGGTCGAATTATATTTTAAAATATTTAAAAGAATCAGATAATACATATATATAAAATTATCAGATAATAATAAATGGCTGGACAGTAATGGATTAGCTACTTGTCATAACTTTATTATGGGGAAACTGTGTCTATATAGCTAAAACAAAAAAAATCTAGTATTATGTATCATTAATTATATATTTTTGACTTTATAGTATGGTTTGTATACTTACTGATTCTACTTTTTCCCCAGCCGCTGGCAAAACATTTTTTCATTTGGAATACAAAGTCTTGAGGAGGCAAACAAAGTATACCTATATTTTCAGACAAAAAAAATGCCGGGGTCACATAAACCAAAGCTATATCGTTGTAGAATTTTTTGCTTCCAAAGTATTTTTCATGAATTATTATTTTCGAAACTTGGGCTTTTTGAATTATGTCCGGCTCATTGTCTTTTGATAAATCCCACTCACCTGCGTAGACTACTAATTCATTTGGATTGTTTCTTTTATTAAAAAAAAAAAAATTTAAAAAATGCACATTATGTATAATAAAAACAGTTCGGCTTCAAATGCCTAAACAATATCTGACTATAAATACGAAATTCCGACATTTAAATGATGTTTATGTTAATGTAAATATTACTTGATGATGGAATGGGCCGCGGTCAGCACGATTTGAGGATGGATCAACGAAGCTCCGCACAAATAGGTCTTTTCCTGGTCGCCTGCAGGTGAACTATTCGGTTTTACTTTGTAAATTACCGCCATCCAAGGAAATTCACCGTACTGTGCTTCGTCTCCATCGGAAGTTACTTTTTCGATTACTTTATCATTAGCGTTTCCATAACCACAGTTAACGTTATTGTTCGATGTTGGAACTACGCTTGGTTTAGGCTCTGCCAAAATGCAACACTGTTGCCCGTCTGTACATGGATTTGCATTCTCGGAATCCCTAAATGTACGTCATCATAACGAGGTGAAAATTAAATCTTATCATTTTGGATATTTCGATAACGATACATATTTTATATTCGAATCGGTACTGCGCGTTAATACGGGGCCGCCCAGAATGGGCTATGAAAGAAAGCCATATATTATAATAACGGAATAGATTACACGGGTATTCCAAATTGAAAAGATGAAATATTTTGTACATGCTTCACGAGATCTTAAAACCGAATGGACCTAATATATTATATTATGAAAAAAATATACACTTCTTGTTGTACTTAAATGTATCCAATAATAAAATAATAAATGTGAAATGTCGAATTGGACAATATCGGTATTATCAATTTAATACTATCCTTATAAATGAAACTGTCAAATTGATAATACGTATATTATATTATATCCAACAAAAACCCTCCATCAACTACGCATAATAACCTCACTAAGAAAAAAAAAAACTCAAGTTAGAAAAGTTCTGATATCAAAAAAAGACTGAGTAATTTCTTAAATGCATTATTATAGAAATTGTTCATAATTCTTTGTATTTCATGAAGTGCGATAACTTACAAATACAAATACCATTTTAATTTAACTTGGCGGCTACTAATTTTTACGACTACAAATAAAAATGCCGACATAAATATGTACATCCCCATTTTATAATTTATCAATACTACCATAATACTATTTAAGTTCATACTATGAGTAGCCGCCAAGCTAAGTTAAATTATTTATATTAAATTATCGCACTTCATAAAATACAAATAATCATAAACAATTTCTATGATAATACATTTAAGAAATTACTTAGCCCCTTTTTGATATCACAACTTTTGTAACTTGGGTTTTTTTTTCTTCGCGAGGTTATTACACGTTTCTAACGGAGGGTTTTCGTTGGGTCATCACTTTATTTTTTTTATTAAAATTTTGGATATAGTTAATCTATGTTTTTTTTTATCGAGTGAAAAATTATGGGGACAAAATATCTTTGTTGTTTTGCGGATTGAGTAAATACATATATGATATATAGTTATGAATATAGCTTATTATGAACAAGATAAAGAGAGGTCGGACCATTTGTCGTAAAATTACACAGGATAAATAGACGTTTGCTGTGTCGTGTACTATTCTACGGTCGACGCACAAGCTCTTCTTTTTTTTTACTTAACTCTGCGCCGCGACCGTGGCGCTGCATATTCATCTTGATAAAACAGTTATAAATTTACCAATTTTATTTTTCTTGTAAATAATATCACATTATTATAATGGTAATTTCAAAATATATCATTATTAAAGCTTAATAAGACAACAATATCAATTTTGAAGAAGATTTCTTTTGAGGTGTACGTTACGATTTGTTTTCGATTTTCCAGTCGGTATAATAATAGAAGATGGAGAAATTTTTAAATAACGGCAGGTTCGAAACAAATTATCGAATATTTCCGATGGGGAGGGGAGGAACCGAACGAGTTTTACCTGTTCCTCCGACCGGTCTCCCGTCCCGAAATGCCGGGTACGTTGTTCGGGACGACCCTGCGCTCAACGACTTTTTGTTATACATAATATTGAATCGGCCGTTTGAGAAACAACATAACTCGTATAATTACCAAAATTAAAAAATTAAAAAAACATGTTAAAACTTCACGGTTGAGTTGAAATGGAGCGCGTTTGGGAAAAAAACGACACGTTTCTATTACTCTCTCATGAGTCGTGTCGTTTCTCAGCCGGAACGCGTGTCCTTCAATATCTTCAAAGAATCGAAATCCACCGTAATCTCGGTCGGGCGCATACTAGTCGCCTCCCGAGGTCAAAAAGGTTGACAATTTTAATACGGATTGCCTCCCGGGTATGTACGAGTCGTCTACCGGCGTACCCCAAACTTTATCGTGAACGAAAAGAATATACTACTAGTTGTCTCCCAATAAGCAGGCAATGAATGTAAAAGTGGTTCACAAACGATTCAAAAATGTTCAAACAGTATGCATAAATATATAGATTTGTTTAAATCTTTTATCATGAAGTAATATTATGTTGGTTGTTACTTATTAATGACCTATCATTGGATTTTGTATCTATACATTCAAAGTCGTAATCTATGACTTTTGCGCGTTGATAAGATTATACGACTAATATTAAACATTACATCTCTTGTGTAATGATTACTGTTGTTAGCAGAGCTTCAGCACTCGTGGTACGATTTTGTTTTTACAAATAGCTATTAAGTGATTTTAAATTATCTAATAAGTTTGTAGGGTGGATCAAATTGAAATGCGGGAAATAATCAGTGAGAAGAGCGAAACGTGTTAAAATAATTAATAGTTTTAAACGCACTTTTCGAAAAAAGTCGGCCTGAAACAAAGAACGGGGAAATTGTACGACAAAAATATGTAAAGCTGTTTTATAAGTAGACGAAAACGATTAAGTAATGTCGAACCATAACAGACATTATCTGAACGAGCACTGTTCATGTACGTGTTTTTTATTAACCAATTATATTATTATTTTTAATAGAATTACAATTATTATATTCGATTCGGTTTACTTTATGAACCGCGCCGCTTTGTTCAATATAGGAGGCGGCTGGTGCGAACATTTTCGGGACGCGACTCGTACATAATTACGGACTGCCGCCGAATCGTCGGAGGCGACTAGTGTGCGTGCTAACCGTTTTTTTCTACGTTAAGGACGGGAAGCGATCCGTACGTTTAAGTCGTTTGAGTTGTTTGTCGAATGGCCGATCCGATTTTTATTGCAGGGTTACCCCGACGGGACTATGACGACGTTGCCCTCTTCGCATAGCCAGAACGGAATGCACTCGCACACTCGGCCGGCGTGCGAAAATATTTGATTGCCGGTCTGCGGGCGAGCGTCCGCCGACAAACAGGTGGCGGCCGACACCAAGGCGATCAGGACGGCCGTGCGGTACGCGGGCGAGCAACAGGCGGCCCGCTCGGCCGTTTTCGCCCGAGTGAACGTGCGGCAATCGTGACGTCTGCGACTACAGCGGTCCATAGCGGCGACGGCGGCAGTGTCTGTATTACAATACGGTAACGCATAATTAATAGGCTTTGAAAAAAAACTAGCAAATATGCTCCAAAAAAAAAAAAATAAAAATACATTTTTTTTTTCATCGAAATTGTTTAACTACTAAAAACTTACCGAACTAGTTAATTTTGTTTCCGTCACAAACGGTATTTACGTTAGTAACTTTGTTTTTAGATGAATAATTTTAGAGTTATTGATACCAGTCTCAGCGATTAACTAAAGTAACCATTTTACGATGGTTTATTCGACTATGCTATCGGTTAGAACAATGTAAATCGAAAAGAACGTGTGCAACCCGTGCAGGCGCACAATAAGATAAGACATGAGTGTGTGTCCTTTTATAGCATTTAAAAACTACATATTGCTAAAACATGCTCTAAAAAATCAAAAACTGTAAAATATACGAAATAAAATTTAAGATTTAGATTCTTTACAAGACGAACAGTATTTATGTTTAACTCTGCTATTTTTTTAATTTTTCAAAAATAATATGCAAATGCTAGAACCCTGGTTATTAAACACCGCTCGAAAGAGAGAGAGGACGTGTCGCGAGGTTTTCGGCAGAACCGCAACGTAGAGCTAGGTAATATTTTCGCTTTGTACGTAGAATAAAAATACCGAGATAAACAATACCGACCGACACGGATAATGCGGGATGGTATTGTGTTTCCGTCTTAAAATTTGAATGCGACGTATGCACTGAGAAAAAACGAATATTTGTAAGATGTCCTAGTAGTGTAATAATATGATAAATTGTTTCGTAACGTATTAATTGTTTTATCTAAATCGAATACAAAAAATTGTTTTTTTTAAATTACCCTTTAAAAATCGGCCAAAAGTCCACTGTGCAGTTTGGGCGACTATATTTGTAGACGCATTACTCGCGCTCACCGTCACTGCGTTATTAAGTTAGATACACCGAATGGGTGAATCTAACGACCGCGTCTTACTTGTAAAACCACTTTTATAATTTTTTTTTTTTTTTTACGTATCCTCGAAGGTCAAAATAAGGAATACCAACGACTGCGCATATAATCCACAGTACTATTTAACATATTCGCCGGTTGTATATTTTATGTAATTGTTTTTGTTAAAATTATCGTCCGAATATACGAACGTCATTTTTCCTTGGATTATACCAAGCAACAATTACGATATGTTATGAGAAGAAAAAAAATGTAAAATCAGTATTTCATTATTGACATGTTTCGTTTTATTATACGCTGGTCAAGATTGTTTCGCGTCATCAATACCTTCCGTACCAAATATGTATACGATTATTTTTGTTTCTTTTAATTTTAGAATTTCGATTTTCGTCCATTCACGCCGCCATCGAAAGTTTTGATTCGTTTTAAAAGGTATCGTGTACTTATTTTTTTATTTTTATGAACATGTTAAAAAAAACTGTTTTACTCTTCGATCATCATGGACTGCGGATTTAGCTACGTGTGTTACACTCCGTAATATACTCAACTATAATCAATAAAACCCCCCTCCCCACCACCAATTCACTGTCATGATTTAGGATCAAGTGTTGTTTTTTCTGTTTGGTTCACTATCATACGCGTGCGTACTGAGTATAGCCCGAAATTATGGAAGTAAATGGGAGATTATTTTGGACTCAACGAACGACCGAGTAACTACGTTTATAATATCTGTATGATTCAAGGTTTTACTATACATAATACATTTTTATCTAATACTCTAATAAAAATAAAAAAACACAAAAATGTAACGAAATAACCGAAATTGTTTTTTTTTTTTTATTTGTTGATGGAATTGACTACTGAATACTACACACAGATTTGAAAAAGAGCATTTTTTGATTTGTATTTTCTCTAATCGTGAACTGAAGATTTATAAAGACGAACGAACAAATTAATTTCTTTAAATTATAGTTGAGTTAAGCATGGCATCAAAGTTGATACGAATAAAAGTTGATACAGGTACATACATTTGTTCGAGTTTATTTTACATGATATTTTAACTATGAATACATTTAAAACTAAATCACAGATATTTTACATAATTTAATGTAAATTTATGAAGTGGTCATGATAGACATTGTGCTATAAATGTTGTTATTTGAAAATTTGTTGGGTATATGTTTACCGAAACTAAAATAGGTACCTAACACCTACGCATAAATGTTTAATAATTTTTGTTGAACTTATTAAATTCAAATTTGTCTTGATTTCTTCATAACATTAGTGTAATATATTTTACGACTTTAAAGATCACACCGAAAACAGAGACTATTAGAGACTGTATTGTGTCTGTTATACATATATTTATATTTATCTTATTTCCACTTTTTTTAAGCACTTGAACGACTCTCTGTTGTATAGGCGAATTGAAGTAATAAATATTTAATTGAATTCCAATATAAATTTAAACATGTTGCAGAAAGTTTGTGTTTTTACGGCTTTTAAAACCCCTACAATGTAGGGGATTTAGGGATGTAGGGCATACATCCCTAAATGGAGGTGGATGAATGAAATGTTGTACAATATGTATAACAGTGACAAGAATTTGCCTTTTGTAAATTTCAACTTCCAACCTTTAACCCCACCATTTTTTTAATGATAAAATTGCATGTCCTTTCAGGATTTCTGGAGTTTTGAACAATAATAACCCCTAATATAAACTACTATTTTAGATCAATTTTACGGAAATAAATAAATAAATGAAATGAAGTATTGTAACGATAATAAGCCGACTGATGGGACATTTGACTAAATAGTAACAGTGCTCTGCTGTTCACCAGTGTTTATTTAGTAACGAATAAAAAAATACAACATACTGAAACATTATAAATGTATAAATAATAGCTAAAAAGAAAAATTAATTTTAATAATTTAAAATTTTAAAAAAATTGTTTTAAACATTTTTGGAAAATAATAGTAAAAATCTGAATAAATTTAAAAAAATTAGTAACTTGTCCCAGAAGTACATTATTATACATATGGAAATTATTATATATGCCTTTATTATTAGTGACATGAACATTATAACTAGTTTTTGTGAATTAAGCAATGTATATTTTGGTTTGGTACCTATAAGTTAACTGCACTAATGTAAACACGAATATTTTTAAATACAACCAAATAAATAGCTATATAATACATTACGTATTTATTTTATTGTGCTTGAAAATATTCGGCAGGTACACATTTTTTAAAAATAGCACATTTCATATACAAGATTTCTCTATCATGAGACTCTAAAAATCTTGTAAGTTGAAATCTAATAGATATTATTATGCTCATTTTTGATATTTTATGTGTAAAATATCAAAAATAGTTTTATTATATTTTCTGTATTATTATCCGTAATTATTGGATTTGTATTGCTTGTAAATTAGCACGTTATTTGTTCCCTTCGTTATTCCTTCGTTTTTTTAAAACCAACCATGGCAGTTTTTTTATTCCACCCTAAATCTTTATATATTAGCTAATATGATTTCAACCAGACTCGATTTTTTTGAACTATGTCTCGGAAAAAAATTTGAAAAAATTCTTCGCTTTACTGAAAAACAATAATTGTGAATTATAGCTACACAATATCGGGAAAAATAAAACGTTGAGAGCATGTTTACGATACCATATTATGCTTATGGAAAACAGAAATGCAGTCGTGAGGCAGGCAGGGAACATTCAACTTGAAGCTTGGAAAAGATAAAATCAATGTAGTCAATGTAGGTATTTATTATTAACAAACTGAAATTCATTATAAATATAATACTTCAATTTTTTTTTTTTTTTAATAAAGGTATCACTTCAATTTCAATAATAAAAGAAAATTAGTTGTGTAATTAATTAAAAACTTAATACTTATGTTGTAGCCTTTACATATGTTTTAAATTTTGTTACTTAAATCTATTTCTAATTCACTATTATATAGAAATACTATTTATAGGTATTATTCTCTTTAATCTACACCTGAGCTTCTCAAACTTTTAATTTCGTGTACCATTTATATGTATTGTGGCTCTGTCACATACCACGTAAAACTAAAACTTGAACAAACGTGAAATTTGTGAAAAATGTGTAAAATAATTTATTTTAGGAAAAACCTTTGATTAACTAACCTTTAAGATACTTAGTTTGATAAACGTAATTGTAACTGTTATTTCCACGACTAAAGTTATCCAAAAAAATAACCGCTTATAATATAACTACACACTTAATTTAAAATAGATGATAATGTATTACATTTTTTATTTGCGGGGACTGGTTATCGATACGGTATCGACGTCCGTATTATACGTACGTATTTTTTAGTTGACTATCGGTTTTATGACAACAGTTTTAATTCAAAATTATAATAATTATTTAAAAAATTGTATAACATAATATATTATACACAGATTCCAAAATGTAATTTATAATTTGTATTTGCACTGTATATAAATTATATATTATTTTTAATTGACTATACACTATTGCATTATTTAAAAGTACCTAATAAAATATAACTTAAAATAATTTTTTATTATTTCACGCACAATTTTCACTTAATAGTTAATTTATTATGTATTTTACTAGTCACTAGATATTCGTATGTTATACGTTCATATAACAATCATTGTATATATAGTAAATAAACTAAGTATTGCATGTTGGCAACGTAGTACTCATTTTTGTATGCAATCGTAATATTTTGAAGGGTCAGGTACAAAAATTGTACGCAGTCGTACAAACGTACGCAATCGTATACCACCGAAAATTTGGACAGAAAACTTATATTTTTTTTTTTTTTAGACATGGTAAAACTGTAAAAATATTTGAGCCATTTTTGGGCTTTTTTAATTTTGTAAGTAATTTTTATTTTTTGCAAGTTTTCTATGGATAAAATTATTGAACTAAATAAAAATACTTTAAAATTGAACAGGAGGTTTATTAGAACTCGTACTTTGTGGTCAAAACTATAGAAAATCATGTTTAATGTAAAATAACAATGTGGGTACATTGTGTTAAATTTTAAAGCATTTTTCTTAAGTCATATAATTATAATTTATAATGTTATAATTTTTATAACAGATACCTACCAAATAAAAATACACATAAAAACACGAAAATATCAAATACCTATAACTTAAAAATAGCTAAAAGTTTTTGAAAATTGTATTTTGTAAAAACTACAGGCTTCTATTTCTCTACATTAATTTTGAACCAAATAACAACAAAAAAGACGTCCTAGGATAATGGGGACAGGTGCAGCCATTTTTATGGGTAATTGAATGCATATCTGTTAGCAACGATTAACCATTACTAACGAAAAAACGATTCTGAGCGAAATTCAGTTGATAGTGATGTTTTGTCAACAATATATATGTCGTACTATGGTAAAACAATTAAATAGGCATTATATAATATTTGTTTGATGAACCGATTTTCCTATATTTTTCACATTTTTTGAGAAAACTCCTCAGAAAATCAAAAAACAACCTCCTTAAAGTACCTCTTCACATCGATTTTTTTTCAGAAAAGGTGCCACACGTAAAAATCGAAGCAAGTCCTCTAATAGAACATTTGTCCACAGAAAAAAATAAATAAATAAACATCTTTATAATTCGCTCCACTTAGATTCTAAAATTTCATATAATTCATCGACATTTTAACATTTATACAATTTAAAATCCCTGATAGAAAAACGAATTTATGACGAAAACACCCAAAGTAGTTATGAAACGAATGCCGCCTACAAACAATTTTAAAATTGTTCAACTGCCTCCTATGTCCTCCGTTAAACACGCCTCTGGTGTTAAATAGTTAAACCAATAGATCCTTCGCTATGCTTTGAATCTAAAAAAAATAATATCTGACGATGACATTAAATCGATTAAATAAATTAAATGTAAATAATGATTTTTGATTACTGCGAAATTGATTCATCAGTTTGATCATGATGTTATTTTGAACGAAATAAACACCACTGGACATAGCATTCTTAGACTCGTGTGAAAAATCGCAAGATTACTAGACATTTAAATATGTTAAAAACAATCTTTTATAATGTACAAAAAAAAAATAAATAATTCATAAATCATAACTATAATAATGATTACAGTCCCGGGCACGATATACCTTATGTTATGTTTATAAAATTCACCGAAAAAATGTTTAAAAAAAATAATGATAATAAAATAAATAACATGATATATTGTCGTACTATAATAACTAATCATCGTTTCGGCCAAACGGTTTTTTCAATCCACGAAATGTATTTAGACACTCGTGTATAAACGCCCGGCGTGTTCGCTATACCGCAAAATCGTCCAAACGACGTTATTCCGATTTGCGTGTACATACACTCGTACGCGTTGTTTTTTATTTGAATCGGACCGCCGGAATCGCCCTATCAAAATTAAACAAACGTAAAATGTCGGTACTTGCAAACACATACTCATACGATTACGAAACGGTTACTCACTCGACACGTGTCTTTTCCGTCTTCCGAGAAACCCGCGCAGATCTGGCTCTCGTCGATTATTCCGTTTGGTAAATATCTCCGCTGGTCTTTGTAAGTATTGTTACACTGACTCGCCGGAACCAATTCCAGAGTCACTTTTAACAAGTGTTCGCTGGGCGATCCTCCTGTATTAATTATTGCACAGTAACACACTTTGGTCGAATACGTTTTTGTTGAGCAATACCCAACATAAAATACTAAAGTGGGCTGATTATGTCTGGATAGTAAACCGGCCCGTACTGGCCCGCTGGGCAATTGGACAGATGCTCGATATGCCTTATCACAGTGCGCCTTACACAGCACATTAGTTACATTTTTAATTAAAATTTTGGGGTAATACTAACACTATAGGTATTAATGGGTACAATCTTAGTTAAAATCTAAAAACTATAAAAAGACTTCAAATTGTTCGAATCATAAAATAAAAAACTTATAACAAATTATGATACCGTTGTTGATTTTGGGTTACTTCGGCTACAGGACGAAAAACCACGACTAATATTACTTCGCTCAGTATCGTTTAAGGTTTTCAATGGTTTATTGATACAAACAGTACACATTTTAAATTACCGCGTATATCTGACTTTTTCAACTACTAACCTTGAACAGTGGTATCTTGCACAGTGGCCTACAATGTATATTGTACAAAGTGATTCACTTTGCTTACTTGTGAATCACTTAATTGTGCTTAATTGTGAAAAATCTAAGTATTCGAAAATATCGTCTTTAACTACACTTGAAAATTCTAAAATTCAGAATTTGAATATATGCAAAATTTAATCAAACAAAATGGAATGAGCATGCTTGGTGAATTATCCTGTATATTCTACTCTTGAGAAGTATCAACTTTTTATATTTTGAAAGCATTTTCTATTGTAAGAATGTATAAAATCTTACCTTAAATTCCTCTAAAAAGAACAAATTTAAATATTGTTAATTTTCCTTTGTCGTAAATCTACGGATTTATGTTAATAATTATTTGTATGTTATTTTACCTCTACCAAACAAATTGTAGACTTATTTTGCCTCTGAAAAAGTTGAGCGAATAGATACCTCCCCACAAACTCCCTACCCCCCATAATTATTTATTTATTTTATAATTGCTACTTGTTTTTGCGCCCTTTTAAGTTGTAAGTGTAACCTCTCCATAAAAGTTGTCAGTACGGGCCTTTGAGTAAAGGATAAAATACGTACTAATCAACAGGTACGGTCCTAATCAACAAACCAAGCGGAACGGGACCAAGAGACAGTAAACCCCTCCGCTGCAGATGACTAGATACATAGTGAACAAAAATTTGGAACAAAACGTGGGAACAGCGGGAAATAAAGATGCGGATGATCGAACACGAAAGAGAAACTTGGCGAAAACAGCCAAAGACCTCCAAGGGTTGTAAGACTATAAAACAGAAATATCCTATGTATTATGATAATTTTCAACATAATCATGCTTACCGGTTTCCACGTTTCCCCAACCACTAGCTACTGCTTTTTCAGGGTTTAGAGACGGATCCGAGTTTAGACAAATGGGTCGTACGAAGGCCGAAAACGTCACATCCCGGTCTAATTTAAATAACGCAATGTCGTTGTAATATATACGTTTTTTATAATTTGGATGTATTTTGCGATCGATTATTTTATAGTCCTTAGGATTGGCGTAATCGGTGTCTGTGAGGTAGTCTAGGTCACCGAGACGAGCCCACCGCGGTTCTCTTCAATATTACATGAATATTAATTATTGTACTTAATCGATAATTTTTAAAAGCCAAAATAATGTATTTGACAGGTGATTTACCTCCAATGTGTAAAGTTCACACAAAATGACAGTTTAACAAAAACCTCCACTAGGCTCAAGGAAAATATATCAGACAAAAATTAATACACAATTCACATAGGAGATTCATTGTTTTTGGATAATAAAATTGTTTCTGCTATGACAAAATAAAATTGATATGCTAATCACTAGTTGGTGTTTTATTTCAGAATTCAGAAGTACCAAAATGTCATTTTGCAATAACTTGCACATGGGAAGATTTTCATGCCAAGTGATAATATACTCATATTATTATGACATTGATTTTATACCTGTCACAATGCGCTGCAGTTAATATCCATCTGTTACTAATTAGCGATCCTCCGCATACCCAATTGCCCGGAGTTTCACCGGTCCCCAACAAAGCCTATGAAGATAATAATATTAAATAAATGTACACATTTTTTTTAAAAACATCTAATACTAAGAATATTTCTTTAATTCGGTGCAATTAAATTAGCTCCCAAACCCAGTTAATCAATATATTTATCCTTAAAGTACTATTGAATTCGCTTCCAAGATTTGGCTATTGAATTAACTCCCCCAATATTTATTTCGTAACTACCCACATAGTTACACTAAACTTGCATAAGGTATTACAATATTATGTTCAAAGTTATCATTTAATTGTTATCATAGTATGGTTCACTAAACGTGCTCACCCCAATTTTTTGTTGACATGTTGCATACATTCAAATTCTAATTTTTGGAATTTTTAAGTGTAGGAAAAGCTGATTTTTTTTAAATGCTTAAATTGTTCACATTTAAAGAGTATCCTGTGATGATACCAACTTTGATTTTTCAAATGAGAACCTATATTTAAAATTCCATAAAGACGGAGGATTAGCATTATTAGGTGTACCTATTCTGTGGTATTACTTTAAATAAATTTTAGTGTCAATATTTTTGATTTCCATCAACCCACTAACGAGATATTCCACTTTTAAGATTAGATAAGGAGAGAGTAACGGAGCACTGATAAAACGTCACACACNTACCAACTTTGATTTTTCAAATGAGAACCTATATTTAAAATTCCATAAAGACGGAGGATTAGATAGACGGGAAGGTAGGATACATAAATTTATTTAATTTATATCTGTACGCAACGATAACCCATTGCTAATCAAAAACGATTCGGAGCGAAGTGTGGTAAAACAATCGAATGTTATAATACAGTCATATTTAGCTTATATTTGTTGCCTAATATTTTAATATATTGAAATCTGGATATTAAACCAATACCATAATTCTGAGATGTATTATCTAACAACGTTATTTTTATAATTGTAATCTGAATATTTCTGTATTAGAGTTTCTTATAAACATGTCAGATTGAATACCATGACATCAAAAATAATACATAGGTAATAATCGACGGTACGAATTCCCTTTTGAGAGCCAATTGAACTGTCACCAATTAATTACTACTAACCATGTGTGGGAATTCCTTAGGATCCGCTTTTGTTCCTCCGACAATCAATGTCTTGACATCGAGACAATCTTTAAAGGTGATATTCGAAGATAAATCAGAAGAGATAAGTAGCGGGCTCTGTATAGTAGTGTAAATTAATTTTGAATACTCGTGGCACACTGAAAGGTATACAATATACATACACAGTCACACAGATATATTTTATAAGACTATAATAAAATAGGTAATGTTTTTTTTATTAGTATATAATCAACGTATACCTAACCTATTTAACTCGTATTGTATTTAAGGATGACAATAAAATATCAAATATTTTGAAATATCGATGTTTGAATATAAATTATTTGATGTTTGATATCGATGATTTAATTTCAATATTTGGCATCGATGTTAAAACTTTACCGATGTTTTAATCTCAATGTTTGCTTATGTTCGATGTAATTTCGATTTTGCTCGTCTTTGATGTTCACGACTATTCTTACACACAATAGAACGAATTGTGATTTCTAGGGACTTAATGGCCATAGTTTATATTTGGAGTTTGAGTGTTGAGTGTATTAAGTGTTTCAATACAGAGCCGTAGCTAGGGCTTGACGAGACTGGCCCAGGCCAGGAGTGCAACAAAATTAGAGGCGCGAAAGCCGGAATAAAATATACCATAAATATTTCTATACACTTCTAAAGTTCTATCCCCTTTAATGTTTCTTCTTATACTAACCATTCTGTCCCACCTTTCTATATTCCATCTTACAGAAAAAATTACCATGCCAACTCCCCTTTTTCAAGAGCATTGTCGCTTTGCAACAAATGTCCCATTAACGAATTCTTTTTTTCGCCTTTAACTAAGATTTTACACTCATATTGCTCTTTGAACCAGAATAATTTTTAAGTTGTTTATTATTAAACTGTATCTGGTACCGTTAGTCAATTGTTTTTTTGTCTTGTTTAATCTTATTTATATAATATTATGTCGCTGTGTCTATATTAGTCATAGTGTAATTTTAACCACTATGTACCGCTGCAGGGTCCAGACCCGTTTTATTCATTATTTACTTATTTTATTATTATTATTTATGTTATTAATAATATATATTTTATTTAGAACATGTGCAAAATAGTTATTCTACCTACTGTAACTACGATATACTATATACTATATATAGTATATAATATATAGGTAATGTATTTGTGTACACACACCGTACAATGGGACGACTCCGGACAGATTTTAACGTTTTTTTATTTAATTTACTCTGAACATATAATTGATAAAATATCATGTTTTTTACCTATGTCTTAACCATATTACAGAAAAATAATCATTAGGTTCATTTATGTTCATGCTTATTTTAGAAGTTGAACTTGTCCGAAGTCACTTCGGACACTCGTTAGTTTTCACTGAACATTGATGTTATTATGCTAATTAAGTTATGTCAGATTTTGGATTTTTAACTGGAAATAAATTATTTAATAAGAAACCATAAGATATTTTTCAAACAATTTGACTATGAAGTACTGAGAAGACCACAATGGATTTGATCTGTATTCCGAATTCGAGTGTTTTAAAAACCAAGTTTATAATTTAATGAATAATTTCAAATCAACTACTCCTTTTTAGAGCTACTAAAATGTATTTAAAAGTATTCTTTAAAATATGTTTATTCTAATATTGAAATTGCACTCATGATATTTTTAACTGTAGGTACAATTGCAACTTGTGAAAGAAGTTTTAGTAAACTAAAAATTTTGATGAACTATCTAAGATCTACAATGTCACAGGATAAATTGACAAATATAGATATTATATCGATTGAACGTGAATTGGTTACAAAAATCAACTTTGAAAATGGTATAGATGGATTTACAACTAAAAAAGCACGAAAAATGAAATTTTAAAATAACTTTTCCTGAATAATTTATCATCGCCTAGCCAAAACTACTGGACGGATCGGGCTGAAATTTAGCACATAGATAACTATTATGACGTAGGTATACTCTAAGAAAGGCTTTTTGAAAATTCATCCTCTACGTGGTAAAATAGGGGTTTTTAGGTATATTTAGTATGAATATCTAATTGCTTATTTATTTATGTTCGTTTATTCAAGGGTTACCTTAGTGATACGGATGATAATTAAGTTGTCACAAATAAGAAAACTATTATAATTATTATTATTACTACTATATTTACACTATTCAAATTACACAATAGAACACTTTTAGTCCGCCTAAGATGAACTACCCACTTTCCGCCTATTTGTTTTCATTCAATTCTGACACGGTCAAAACCAAATATGAATATGGGTAAAAAAAACAAAAATAAAAATTGACAAGGGCAACGCCGGGTGTGGGACAGCTAATTATTATATATAAAGTTATAATAAGTTTGGTGGTGTTCTTTTTCTTATTAAATATCATAATATTATTATTATTATTGTAATTACTAATAAAAATAAAGTAAATCGTTTATAGGTAGTGTGCGCGTGTGGACAGGAGGGGAGGGGGTGTTAAATTTATTTTAGGCGGAAATATATTGAATGGCCCGCTAATGTAGTTCTAATGAATCTTGCTACGGTTCTGTTTCAATAAACATTCAACGACTCTTTTAACGTACCCGTGGCAAAGGGACAATAATTATTTTCTCAATATTTCAAATTAACAATGTTGTCTAAAATCATCGATTTTCTATTTAAATTTTCGATATTTTCAACATCGATGGTTTCAAAGAGACACGTCGATACATGCATCGACGATGATCACAAAAAATTTGCCATCCCTACTTGTACGGAATAATGGGTAAATCGCTCACATACTTTCAGCGGCCGAATATGTTTTCACAGTCGTCGGTGCGGTAGCCGCAGCAGTTGTAGTCCCGCCGCCGTTTGAAGGTGCACAACAAACTATTGCGATTGATCCTCTGAACGAACATAATTTAGGATTAATATTGTTACTGAGATCTTTTTTTGCACTCGCGCAATTATCCAATTCCCTACAAACATGGTTAAACGAATTTTTCTTAGTTTTGCCACAAACGTCTCCTATATACACAACACACAAATACACATTATATTATTATATATAGATAATATTAGAACGAGTAAAAATGCAATGTAATAAAGATAATCTTGACATTTTACTATTATTTATTATGATATATTTTTAAATTTCGAGCAGAATAATTATCCACTCAGTATGTACCTTTTGGTTTTACTATGATGTGTGCTAATTTAGTTTATCTTTTTTTTATGCGTGTGTTCAAAAAATAACAAGATAACATTTTCGTTGCATTTTGGATAGTTGGTACATTAGGGAAGTCAATTTTTAGTTTCCATAATAATAAGAAAAAAAACTGATAAATGTATAACGGTATAAAAGTTTTAATATTTTCGATTTACCAGAAACATAATTGTTCTGAATTCAAAGAGTAGCGTATTTTCTGAAAAAAAATGTTGTCTAGTAGGTGCATGACAGAGTTGATTTTTTCATTTTTCTAATAATTGAAAAAAAAACAAAGAAACAAATTTTAAAGCAATAACACTTTCATTATTTTCGATTTTGTTTTAGATTCTGCAGGGTGCATATTCTCAAACCAATTGAAAAGCGCTGTCGATTAAAAATAATAAAAATCAATTAACAGTTTATCTAAAATAAATTGGAATTTTAAAATATATTAACTTTGAATTTTCGAATATTATTATGTTAATGAAAATCGCTTTTCGATTGATTTAAGAAAGTCTAAACATGACATCTTCGTTGATTTTAGTTGCCTACCTAATTCATTGAACCGTGCATGCGACTCTTAGTTTCTTAGTGTAGCAAAGAAGTTATAATTAGTTTTACTAAGACGCGTTTTTTTCTCGGAAACGATCACGATGAAGATTTTCGTCTGGTGGTACCTATTCGAACAAATGTCTAGATTCCAATCAGTTTCCTACACAGTTTAAAAAATCTCTACACATTTCGATACATAGGTAGGTTTCGCTTTTGTTGATTTCTGGGTTACCTTGGCTACGAGCACAGATAATACATTATGGATAGCACATGTGCACATTGTGCTACGAGTGAAAAAAAACCAAATGATATTACTACTAAAATTACTCAGCCCAAAATCGTTTTTTGAATGCAATGATTTATCGTTGATTTTAGTATTGCCTTCCCTAAATCCAATACCTACCATTCAAACATCCCACTTGTTACGGCCAATGGCCTACCCATGATGCAAAAAAGGTAAGTACCTACTTCTCGTTTTTAAAACTAATAGGTACTTATAGTACTAATTTTATAAATTTATATATATACATTATAAAATCAATGTTTATAAAAAATATTGTTTACTAGACTTTTCGATGTAAAAACAGTGAAAATGATTTTTTTTTTTAAGTAAATTTAGTTTAGAATAGTCAACATGATCGTTTATTATGTATACAAATATACTGTAAAATATTTGTAATTTAAATACAGAGTGGTATTTTTATCATGAACCAGTAATAAATGACCTGTCTATCTATAATCCTTTCCTACTTCTCCGGTCTATACTTTAAACTGTTATAACTAATTAACGGTAAATCTGATATTAGTGTTATGCATATAAAAATGCCTAGAAAAATATTCTCTAATCAAATCTGTTTCAAAAGGGGAATTTCCTATTTGAAAATCAAAAATATGTACCTATTTAAGGTATATGGAGTAGGTTAAGAAATTAAAAATAGTTTTAAAATAAAGCTTTAACGATTATATAATGATAAGAAAAATTAGAAATCAAATTAACTTAAAAAACTCCGAGATAATTTCTGGTTCATGGCATAAAAAAAATCAACCTGTATAGTTGGTAAGTATATTAGAACTAAATAAAAATGTCTATTATATATCAAACTTGCCTTCCGATAGGTTCAGCAATTGAGCATAATTTCCCATGTTCAGTGAACCGATTATGAACAAAATTAATAAACATTTTAAACTTTTACGATGACTCTTCATTATATAATACCTATGAAATTATTAAAATTAAAAAAGTACCTATGTCGTTTTAACTAAGAGTTTGCTGTGTTAATGATATTTTTGTTGAGGAAAACCACTTAATATATAGTTTCTTACACAATAATTATTATAATATAAACAGGTTATACCTACTATAGAATAAGTAACTATTTTACATTGACTAATATATAATCCCCTCTCACTGACTCACCACTGTCTACTGCGGGTTCTTTTCTGTGAAATGCGAAATATTATTACACTGAATAAGCAATGATTGATAAAACACTCATTATCTTAGAAAGTATTAATTTTTTTTTTGTACAATTGAAGAAACAAGTAGCTCTAAAGTGTAACATATCCATTTTTGTTTATTTGGGTGGAGGGTTTCTGCTGCCCACTTTTGATTTTCAAATAGCAATTTAACCAAGTATAAATAGATGAATTTTGAGTTGAAAAATATATTAAAAACTGTAAAAATAAAATAAATATTTTGATGTAATATTGTAAATTTTAACTACTCAAAATCTTAGAGTTATCTTTTATTTAACATGTTGGTGATGAAATTTTTAGTTCCTGTCAATCCATTGACAAGATATTCCACTATTCAATTTGGATTAGGAGGAAAATAGTGGAGCCAAGGGCACCCACGAATTTACCCAGAGTTTTATTGCCAATAAATTGTAATAAAGATTTTTCAGGTAAACATAACCTGCCAAGCATATTATTATAAATAAACCAATGAAATGGCATGCCCAGTGGGTAGGCCTGGTAGGCACGGGCCTACTCTGTTTTCAAATATTTATTATTAATATTTTTTAAATCATTATTTAATTTTAATCACGAGAAGTTCAGCAAAAAAAAAAAGATGCCACAGAAGCCAAAGGATTATTAAAACAATTTCGATCTTTGATATATTATTTGTTTTAACATTTCTTGATAACATTTTATCTACTATCAGCGTATTTTCAATACATTTACGATCTCTTTCTCTCGATACAATAATTTAATGGTAATTAAAGATTTAAGATAATTAATTTAATTTAAAAATAAATTTAATTAACGCTACAAACAATAACAGAACTTTAATGTTCGAATGAATATTTAATGACTTTTATAGAAAAACTCAAATCATGATTTCAAACATTTAAATATTTTTATGGATGATGATAAAAAAAATAGACAGAAGAATATTAATAGTGCATTAACTGATTAAATAATTACTTCAATAATTTGTTTAAAATATAATAAAACTACGACTCAAAAATTGCGGGTAATAAATTTTACAGTAATAGATAATATTATATTGAATGAAATGAAGAAAGATTTAACAACAATTCTGAATTTTTAACTGCTATATTAGTATTCAATCCGATATCAACCAACTTTTTAAATTATTATTTTGTTTTAAAGTGTACAAATTAATGAGATGATGATTATTTCTCAGTAGCTGTACAAATATCATGGAACTTTATAACAAAATATACATTATAAGACAGTCATTTGGAGAAATTAAAAAAGTTATTCAACGCGTGTTAGTTATACCAGTAAGTTCAATATCGGCCGAAAGAAGTTTTTTACAATGAAAAGAATAAAAACTTATTTACGAATTATTTATAATTTAGCGTTAATTTCAATGGAAAAGGAATTCAGTTTCAAGTTGATTAAACAAAGATTGTTAGCGAGTTTGCTAAATTGAAAAATATAAAACTTCAATTCACTAAATAATTATATTTTATGTACTTATCATTAAAAAAAACTATTCTTTCATTTGTATTCATATATTATTCAGCAATATAAAAATTTAATTTTACTTTTTAATATCTTAAAATATTATTAACAAGTCAGACAGGAGGAATTGTGTTATGTTATATTATATGATAATGTGATCTTATTAGATTTAAAAATGATATGAAAAGTTTCCAAAAAAATAATTAATGTATACTTATATAAATTAAAATAATTATAACCGGGCCTGACTTACATTTTGATCCTGGGCACGCCTCTGAATCAATGTTTCGTTGTTCAATTAAAATTAACAATAAATATCACGTAAAATATTGTAGCTGGGTATTTAAAATCGCGTTTAGTAAAGTATTATTAAAATTATGTTGATTTTGGTTTTCTCTGTTAACCAAACAAACTAGTAAAAAAAAAAAAAAACATGAAATGTGTTAAAACATTAAAAATTCCATAATATTAAAATGAGTTTAAAAACTCAAAAGTGCATAATGTAGTATTTAAATCATTTGAATGTTACCTATGCATCTTTGGATTTAAAAAATAATAATAATTCCATTCATATTATCAAAAAACTAAATGTTTATTTGATTATGAGATTATGAATACAAATTAACTCAATTTTATACCTCCATTAGTCAATAATCACAATAAAGTAATAAGAAACAAAAAAATATTAGTGAACCCCACTGAACATAACATTATTGCACTCGAGTGGTAAATCATATGTTTATATACTATGATATTTAAATAATAAACATAAATTATAAAAAAAATATACGTAATATTTTAAATAAAACCAAATTTATGATTATAACTAGGATAGAATACCCACAATACATAATTATAAAAAAAGGCCTATCATTTGAAAGAGTCCGTAATTTTAAATACTTAGGGGTGGATATATAGGGGCACCAGTGAGGACCCGAGTTTGACTGATTAGCAGTGGCGCCGGGTAACGAGTCAGTGTGCTCGTTGCCATATGTGCCTAAATTCCTTGGGACCCATAAAAAGGAAATATTGAAAGACCTGGTTCTGAGTGATAGTAGTAATGAGCGGACTTTTAAGATTATGGGGAAGCACTTGGAAAAGAACAGATTTTTGGCATTAGCTATAATGCTGGCTTGGGAATCAGAGACAATAACAAAATAGTCGGGGGGAAGAGAAATCATGCAGGTTAGAACTTCTAGAATCACCCCACATTCAGCCGTGAATGAAGAGATGAAAACAAGCAAGCTGGAGAATAATTGTGTATGCAATTCGGGGAAAAAATAGGCGAAAGCTCCACCTGATTGTGTAACTGATCCATCCGTGAAGACCAAGGAATTAGAATTGTCATTGATAAATTGCCTAAATACATTGTTAATTATACATGGGGGCATTAAACGTTAATCATTCAGAGTGTGGCCCTGGAAATTGGGTGAAATGATTACGGATGGGATGATTGTAAGAGCGTCAAAATGTATGGCATACAAGGGTTGTTTGTGAACTTTATAAACATGAAGAAAAACCAATGAGAATGACTGTATCATGGATGAAAGTATTGGTGTGAACCTACGAACAAATCTCCATTTAAAAAAAAAATATCTTAAAACTATAAATAATCATATAGTTTATGCCCAATAAATTATTAAAGTCCAGGTTACAATATGTAATAATGTTCATATAAAATCATAAAAAAAATAATGATTTATGTTATTTGTCGAATTTAGGTTATTGGATATGTATACTGTGTGTTAGATTAATTTTTTTAGAATAACTATTACAAAATGACATTTTTTAAAAATTTGAAAATTTGACAAATGAAGATATTTTCCTAGTAATTAAAGGATGAAAATAAAAATGTAATTTTTTTTAATATAAGAAGTATCATTGATTATGTATACTTAACCTAACCTTGTAAATTATATAATGGTAATATTTTTCCCTACTGAACAAAATTGAAAAAAAAAAATAATAATTTGAGTTATTAACAATTGAAAAACAGGGTAGAACAATCTTTTTTTTTATACTTACATATAATAATAAATTATATTTAATTTCAAATGACAGCCAACTGTTAAATCTTCAATTGTCGTTTGTCTTGACAGTGTATTCATGTTTTTTGGAGGTTTATAAGGTTTATTTAAAAGATTACCTAATTAAATGTAATACATAAACATTCAGTAATGTATAATATTCGTTGGTATTTAATTGTAGTAATTATTTCATGAACATTTATTAAAAAAAGAAAAAACAATAAAAACTGTTTTGTTGATTAATACTTAAAAACATAAAAAATATCTGTTGTTGAAAATATCCATTTCATTCAAATATTATAACTTATATATTTATTTAAATAAATGGACAATGATTCAAATTCAAAATAAATTATTATAAATAATTATTTTTGATAGGTACCTAAGCATAACATTATACAATTTTTGAACAAAATAAAAATGGAATTCAAGAAAACTGGATGGCTCTTAAATCTTTCAGCAATGGTTCCAATAGTCTTTCTAATGCCAATATATTGCCAGTGTTAGCTTTTTCAGCAGCAATAAATGTAATTAAAAATCTTGAACAATTTAATTGGACAACCTATTAAAATAAAAAACCAACATTTTTAAATTCATAAATTAATTCAAAATATACAATTATAATATTTCATATTTTATTTGAGTGTGTTACACAAGTATTTAATTTATTATTAATTGTAAATACAATTTTAGATTCTCGGTGTAGCAAAGAATGTACTGGCCTTACAATGATATTAATTTTTTTATATTGTGACAAAAATGTCTACTAGAAATATTGCTTCGATGGTTTTCTAAAGTTTTTTTATAATATTTGGGAAAACCCGAGATAAAATGGGAAAATTAACAAAAATAATAGTTTTATTATTTTCAATTTTTTTTGTTGTTGTAATTCAGTTAAATATTTATATAGACTTGAAATTTGAATACAAAACTTGTATTTGCCTTTTCTAGACGAGTTTTGTATGTAATTTTTATTCAGTAGGTACTCTTTAGTAAAATTTTTGGACTAATCAATAATGATTGAAAATTTAATGGAAGTTCATTAGAAATCATACTTTGTGGTCAAAACAAAAAAGAATTGAGTTTAATGTAGGGTTGCCATACGTCCCAGTTTTGCCAGGACACTACCATTTTTATTCAAATGTCCCAGTGTACCGAGAAAGTGTTTCGGGACATTGATTTGTCCCGGTTTTAAAACTTTACTCAATAAAACAATAAAATATTGATTTTCAATTAGTTGAAAATATTATAGTGATAACAAAGTTCATAATTATTCGCGCGATAATCTTAGGTAATTTATTTTTAGACTTTCTATGTTCAAACCCAAAATTTATTATCGCGATAATCAAAATCTTAATGGTTCTTATTAAAACCACTACTCTAATAATGTTATCTACTTTAAAGTTTAGTAGTTTACTGTTCAATATTGTTATATGTGTCTGTTCACGCTGTTAACTTTAGATTTCCATTTATGTAAAATATTTATTTTGTTTTGATTAAACTAATTGATGTGTGCTATTTTCTTATTAGCTTCTCTTATTATAAAAACGTACTTCAATAATACATATTGTGAAGAATTCTACGACCAAATTCTCGAAAACAAATTTTTATTAAAACAAGGTCATGGATCAGCCAAATATTTAGTAAAATCCACAGGAGAAATCCTGGACTCTGAAAGTTTTGAAGACTGATCAATAAATTACTATATCATTTGTTTTTTTTTTTTTTTTTTGATTGAACCAAGTTGTAAAATTTGATTGAAAACGCATGTAAACTATAATTTATAAATAATAAGATTAATAGTTTTTTTGTATAATATTGCTTGCATGCATAATTAATTTTAAAAAAATACTTAATAATCAAAAAAAGTAAATATTATTTATTTATATATATTTATATTCAAAATATCCTGGGTTCGGGAAAATATAATCTGGTAACCCAGATAGTAATGCCCTAGTATAGGTATACCCTATACTAGGGTAGATATACCCTAGTATAATGCAGTATTTTTTTTTTATAAGAATTTTAATATCAAATTTGACGAAAATTGTTTTAGTAATAAATTATGTGGAACAAATCTTCTTACTAATCCATACAAAATGTTTCAATATATATTTATTTTACTATAATATTACATATTGATCATTGAAAAAGCAATATTATTAACCGAGCTCAGAATCGTTTTTTCATTAGCATTAATTTATCTTTGCTCACAGATATACATTAAATTCCCCTCTATATCCTACCTTCTCAAATTCTCATATACAACAGTGATCCACCTATCGTACAATGTATGTCAGTCTTTTTTTTTTAAATGTTAATATGTAATTTATTTCAGATTAACTTTGAAAAACTTAATATTTTATTTGGGAATCAAAGTATGGAATATCAAAAGATATTTTTAAGATCTTTTGACTTTTTATGAAACAAAATACATATTTGATAATAATTATTATTATTATGTTAAAGAAAAGGATGAATATACTTCACATGTAGGTACAGCCGCTTTTTTAGGTGGAGAGTTTGGAAGGCATGTTACAGATGGGAATTAAATGTATATCTGTAAGCAACGATAAACTATTGCTAACAAAAGAACGATTCTGATCGGAATTCAGTTGATAGTCTTACTTTGTCAACAATATATAATATGTAATATTATAAAAAAATGATCACAACAATGTGCGTTTCCAAGACAACAATGATTGTTTAGAAAAGATTTTAAAATAATAAAAGCTTAATAATTACAATAAATAAATAAAAACGGTTGCCAATGACAACCTTATTTTTAATTTTTCAAACTTTTTTAACCTAAAGAAGAACCAAGCTTTCCTCATTATCTCGAATATATTAAGGAAAATTTCAAAAAATAATTTATTTATAGAACTACACAGAGAACACTTCCTTTCAGAAAAGGTGCTATAATTGATAATCATAGTATGCTTTCCAGTAGAAAGTGTTCACATAAAAAATAAATACATAAATATCACTGTAAAACCAATACATTACTTGCTACACTCAGAATCTAAAATAATTTTTAAATATAAATAATATTTTATAAAATATGAATACATACCTGATTGTTTTTATAAAAACAAATAACTGTTTTGTTTTTTCCAAGTTCTAATTTTACTGCCTGTTCTGAAGCAGAATTAAATCCAGACAAAAAAGATGGTTTAAAATTATAATTTTTTTCCGCAGTTTTGGTTGCATGAGCTAAGAAATAAATATTTTACGTGTTAAATTGATAAAATAAAAATATTATCCATAACAAATAGATTAGTATTTCTCATCAATTTTTACATAAATTTGTTTAATTTACAATATCATTATTAAAAGTATATTTGATTTATACAGTAATGCTTACCTTTTATAATCACAACACCATCATGATCAGATATGAGTATAGAATAGAGATCTTCAACTTTACTCAATGTTTGGAGCATATATCGTTTAAGATCCTGAAAGATTTAATTAATCAATCAGAAAGGTTAGTTTCACAAGTATTTAAAAATTAAATCACTTAATTACATTTTTATACTAAAACTATAATTAGGGTTGCCATAATTTCATCAAGCAAATCCAGAACGGACAGAAGAAATAGCAAAACAAATTAACCTATAAATGTGATTGAATCATATTATATAGGTACCAATGTATTATAAAAAACTGACTTATTATTTTATACACTAAAACAATAAAATACAAATTGTATTTATGTTTTAGTAAATTATACATTTATTATAAAAAGAACACATTATTTATTTTTTTTTTTTTTTTTTAATTTCAAAAAGATAATTTAAAACATAGAGTAATAAGGAAGGCTTGGACTTAAAGCAATTAAAATCCACAAAAAAACATCAAAAAAGGAACTAAAATATTTTATAAAAATTAAAAATATTAGGGAGCTATAAAAAAATACTCCCTCTAACTTTAACACACAATTTTCTAGTACCACAAACAGAAATTAATCTTTTTTATAATTTTTAAGTTGTTGAGTATTATAAAAAATGATTACTTGTAATTTTGTTTTTATCATATTTATAATATTAGAAAAGAGTGTTTTCTAAATTTAGACATTAGAGGAAATTATATGGTCCTTATAATTTTCACTTTTTTAAAAATATCTTTTAAGTGTTATTTTCGACATTTTTAAGAATTTGTACGTTTTATGTGCTATAATTCCTGAGCCATAATAATAAGTATTTGGATACAAAATAAGATTTTTTTGTTTTTTTCATCTTTGTTTTATATTGTATTTGTTAAAAATAAAATATTTTATTTCACAATTACAATTATTATTTGAAATAAATGTCAGAATTAAATATCATACATTTTTTCTCAAACCGGGATATATAGGCGCCCCAACATTTATTTTCGGGACATATGACAACCCTAACTACAATATCAATAAATTAAGCCTCCACCCTTATTTATTTCTTAGATCTGCCCCTATGTATGTATAATGTTTGGTTATGCTTAGAAAACCGAAGATATAAAATATAAATATAAATACACGATATACCTACTACTATAATACTATAGGGTGCCATTGAATTTGTAGCAAATACTTTAGAGTGCCATGAGTAAAAAAGATTGATACCTTTAGCTACCTCTGTCATAGATATTTGTTATGTCTTTTCATAAAAAAAAGACTCATTTGTTTATTCAATTTATTGACCACTCAAACTAAAATTAATGAATCTCCACTTATGTTTGTTCTTCCATTTTCAAGAGTAACACCTAATCTTAATCTGTTGAATATTTTCAGGCACTTCATTGTGATGTCTGGACAATAGTCATTGGTCTTGATTAAAATTTCTTGTTTGGTCCAAGATTGTCCATCATTATGATCAATCAAACTTGGAACTGGTTATAGGTGTCCATGTAACAGGTGTCTTTTATTAGTATGATTCACCTATTTCATGGATTCCTAACCAACTCCAAGTCGTATACAAAATAGTGATAACAATTGAAACGCATTAAACGAGACAATGTCATTAATAAATATCACATTTTAAAGTATTTATTTCTATTATATTATTTTTGTCATTACTTATTAGTGTTTTTATTACAGACAAAATATACCAATAATAGGAAAAAAAATTGTTAATTTGAATAACACAATCATTTACAAAATGTGAATGTGCTGTAATTAATTACTAACCTCCATAATTCTAAAATTGTAATCCGGCGATATTTATGCTATGTAAGAATAGTTGAATGACTATTCACAAATTATAACTCACAAATGTAATACATAGATATTTATTTAAATTGTGAACGAAAAATTATGCCAACAATTAAGTTATCCTTATCACTTATCACGCATTCGTTTTGCTATCAATCATTAATTTAAACCACGGCTATAGATACTAGTATCTATAACCGTAGTTTAAACCTAACCTAACCATAAACATATTTTTTTAGAACGGTAAATACCATAGTCATAGTTTTCGATAAGAAATGAACGCAATTGTTATTTCTTATTAAAAGTTACAAAATAAAATAGACTTAATTGCTTGAACAGTTAAGCTTGTAGCTATGGCAAAGGTTTCTTTATAATTAGCCATTTAATATAAAATGTAATGTAATAATTAATGATTATATCACGGCTATAGATGCTATGGTTGCGCAACGATTCTCGAAAAAATGGCCTCCAATGCTCTTATCAATAATGAAAAAAAACGGTAAAAGTAGTTTAGCAAATTATTTATTTGACTTCAATATATTGAGTTCGTTAAATGTTTGGTATGATTTATTATTTAAAGTTATTATCGTAAGTAAATCTATGCAAGGATTTATATTGGATATAAAAATGGCTTCTACATTATTGATAATTGTGTTAAATATATTAACGAGTATTGAGAAACAGGATATGCAGACAGGGACGTCTTCGGGTCAATTTCATGGGGGAAAGTTTTCTTTCCAAATTTCAATTCTACAAACAATTTTAACTGAATTACAACAAAAGACAAAATTGAAAATATTCAATGCATTATCTTTGTAAATTTCCCGTTTTTCTTATTTACATCATATCCTAGGTTTTCCTAAAATTATGAAAACTGCTTGGAAAATCAAAAAATGATCTTCCTAAAGTACCGTCTAGTCAATATGACAATATTTTCAAAAAAAAAGTGCTACACTTATTTATTGAAGCAAGATTTCTGGTATACATTTTTATCATAGTATATATATATATATATAAAAAAAAAAACATTGTAAACCCAATAGGTATATTCTTTGCTACACTCAGAATCTAAAACTTAAATTAAATTATCATTTCCAATTTTGATTCTAAAAATATATTATTTTATTATATTTTTGCAAATTGATTGTTCTCACTTATTAGTTTTCTATAGTTCTATCTCACCCTTAAGAGAATATTTATCAAAATGTATAATTGGAAAGTGGTTCATTCTTGTTTGAATCAAAGTACTTCCAAGATCTGGAATCATCTTTATGGCATTTAGAACCAGTTGCATTTATACTTATTTGTACTTAGATGAATAATTGAGATATCTAACATAATTCATCTAGATAAATAAATATATATACTTATCCGAAGAATTCAAAAAATTGAATTTGAAAGTTAAAACTCATGTCTCATTAGCAAACCAACCTTGTACAAATAGAGAACAAAATTAAAAACAAAGTAATAAGTAATAATATTATCCGGGTCGCTTATTTATGTTATTTCTAAATTCTATAAAAAGTCTAATAGAAATTGTGAATTGTAGAATCTAATATAATTTGACAAAAAATTTGTAGATTAATAAAATTAAAATAATTTTACCTTTTTTTTTTATCCAAATAAATAGTGTTCTATCTTTTATCTTTATCTAGATAATTTAGATTTTAACTATCTTTTATCTCTATCAATATGTGTAAACAGTACTCTGTTAATCTGATTAAATAAAATATGTAATAAATATTATAATAATGTACACTGTATACAAGGTGATTCACTCAACTAAAAAAACTCACTATCTTGGAAAATATTAACTTTTATCAGAATTTTTTTTTTTGAAAACTTATGATAAAAATAGTTCTAAAATGTTATACTTGGCAATTTTATTTTGAAATTATTTATTTTAGCTAAATGACAAAGAAAAAGTTTTGATTTATCTATTTAAAATGGGCTTTTTTTGGTTCCAGTTTTAAGTTCTCATTGTGGGATTAGGTAAGAAAAAGAAGAAAATTCTACAATTTATTTACGAATCATGATTTTTATTTACTCTCTATCATAGAAGACCTCTGTATTGTACCTCCCTTGCCACACCACTGACAGTGTTTATCATTTACAACAATATAAATAAATACCTTCCATTTCAAAGCACGTTGGTCCACTAAACTATAGAAGCCTAAATAGGTAAAGTCCTATATAATATTTTATTATCTGCAGTAATTATATATTTTAAGTTAAACAATTAAAAGAAATGCACTTCATAATTAAAATTACAATTTAAAAAAATACTGAGGCTTACAAAACAACCATAATTATTATAATATTATTTTACAAATTATACAAATATTGAAGATTAATCAACAATACTATTATCTTTTTGTAGTTTATTTGCATTAGATTTGATACTTCTTTCAATGCTGACTTGTGAAGCTGCGTGTGCCATTTGGTTACTAGAAATATTTAAAAATGTAAGATTATCAGGAAGACTTATAAAAAATAATTTAATTTACATTAAAAATTCTTGATTGTATGGTTTTTGTTCTTCCTCTTCCTTTTTATCATGTTTTCTATAACGTTTCACATTTGAAGAACGTTCTTTATCCCGAATTTTAGCATCTGCCATCATTTCATTTCTTAATTTGTTCATTTCCTCATCAGTTAATTTCTTTTTCTTAACAGGCGGCAGTGATTTGGGTTGAATGTCATTTGCCTCAGTTTTAATTTTAACAGGTGGAGGACTGGAAAATTCTTTTTTCACACTATGGCCATTTGGAATCTATTAAAAAATATAACTGCTATGTCATAATCAATATTCTATATTTAAAACTAGACTTAACTTTTAATTTGTGTAACTATTTAAACTGTATTAGTAGTGTTTAATTCTTAAGTAGTTTAAAATTTTTTAAAATTTAACCAACTAATATAAATTTATAAAAATGTATAGTAAATGTAAATTTTTTTATAAATCTTTTTTTTTTTTTTTGTTTACAAATAAAATATTCCTATCAATTTAACTCAACAATATATTTTATGTCATAACTCAAAAACTATTTAACCAAATTTAAAATGGAGCAAGATTGATATATTTTATTACAATTACCATTAGTTTAACATAAAAAAAAAAAAAAAAAAATGGTATTAAAGTCACCCCAAATACTATATAACTTTAATAGCTACTTTTAAAATAAAATTACAAAAAAAAAAGACGTCCTAGGATAATGGGGTCCGTTACAGCTACTGTTATAAGTAATTTAATGTACATCTGTAAGCAATGAAAAACGATTTTGAGCGGAGTTCAGTTGATAGTGTTGCTTTGTAGTAAAATTCCAATTATTCCAATTTCAAAATTAAAATGAATCCTGTTTTTCCTCCTTTTTTTTTGGTTTTTCACATTTGTTGAGAAAACTCTTGAGAAAATTCAAAAATTACTTCTCTAAAGTTCCTCCCCACACCGATTTCCTTTCAGAAAAGTTGTTACACATAAAAATTGGAGCAAGATCTCTGATTTTCTATCACAGAACAAAAAAAAAGAAAATAAACATCTTTGTAAAACCACAAACTTCTTTGCTCCACTCAGAATCTAAAAAAATAACTATTGGAAATAAAAAGTTTAGGAATGTTGGTAAAAGAGAACTAAAGGCAGCAACATTATTTTAACACCTGTAAAATAAGTATTAAAAAAACTATACCCAAAAGAACAATAAAAAATCGACAAAACGTATTAATATCACCCTGAATTACGGTATAAATGTTTACAATTTACAGTTTTAATAGCACAATTATTATAAAATATTTAATAAATAACTTTAGATAAATATAATTTTAATTATTTAGGATTTGATTTGACAAAAATCATTATACAAAACTTGTAAATTATAATACATACCAATTTATCAGATTTTTTTTTATTTCAAGTAAAATATTTGTATGGCTTATACTGAGGAAACTAGACAAAAACAATAAATGCGGACAAACTCTATTAGTGAAATCATTATGAGTCGCTGCGGCATCGTATTTAATGCAAGACTAATTTTTACACACAATAAATAGAAATTTGTGTGTTTTATAATATTCAAGTTTTAAATATTTAATATTAGTAATATTTGAAATACTTATATTTTGTACTAAATATGACAGATATTTAATGAGTTAGCCACACTTTTATTTAACTAGTTCCTGTAGTTTGTTCTGTATTTATACAGAGTGTTCAAACTTCAAAAGGATACTCATAATCTCAAAAAGTATTAACTTTTTGTTCAATTTTTCTTTTAGATAATTTAATAAACAAGAGACTCTAAAATATTAAATTTCTATTATTTTCGTCAGTCTTAAATTAGTTGGTGAAAACATTACCCATTTTTGATTTTCAAATAGTAACCTATATTAAAACTGCTTTAAATTTTTATTTTTATTTTAAAATTAATTAATTTAAACATGGTTGTAACCAAGCTCAGGTTAAAGTGATTTTGGGCCTGGGGCCAAACAATTTTAGGGGCCCATAAACATATTCAAAAATTATTGGTGATTATATAGCACTACCAGCAAAGGCCAAGGGTCCACAATATTATGATATCCAGGGGCTTGGGGCCATAGCCTTGATGTGGCCATAAGATAGGATTTCCAATACAACAACAAAATTTGTATTTTATAATTTTACTGTTTTTACAATAATTTTTTTTTTTTTAATATGATTTCCTCTATTTATGAAATTCTTATTATAGAATGCTTTTTGAAAATCAAAAGTGAGTAGTGATTACACAACCAAAAATAACAGAAATGTATCATATTGAGGAATGATCACTCTGTATAATATACATTATTCATGTTTTCAAATACAATACTGTATTTGAATGAATTAAATAAATTTATATCTTACGAATAATCCATAGTTTTTTGTTTTGTTTTTGTAGTCATCTTTTTCATTTTCCAATTTGAATTCTGGACTAAGATGACCCTTCAATGTATTTCTTTTTTTTCGCTCATCATCTGAACTAGATGCACTACTAGACTTATCTCTGTGTTTATCTTTTTTAATTTTCTGCTGACTTATTGATCTACTTCTTCGATTATTTCTGTTTTTATAATATCCATGCCTATTTCTTGAATCTTTTAAATTTCTAGATTTATATTCTTTATCAGAACTGTTTGATCTGCGATATTGTACTGATCTATGTCTTTCATTCCTATTTTTATTTCGTCTATGATCTCTATACTCAAATGATTTTTTATCATTTTGCCTTCTACCCTCTTGTTCAAATTTTTTTTTATGTAGTTTTTGTTGGTTGACTAATTTTTCATGATTACTCTTTACATTATTATCAGAACTAGTCTCATCTTTTTTCATTTTATGTTCTTTCTTTCTCTTGTGTTTTGTAATAGATAATATTTTTGCAAGATCTAATCCAGCCTTTTCATATGATTTCAAACGACTAACTAATATTATATCCAATTGATGATCCTCAATGGTTTGTTTTTCTGGTTTTATATTTTGTTGTTTTTTGAGACACATTGGATTTTCACGAAATTTTTGAGTACTTTCAAGCACTCTTTTTTTTATATTCACTAATGGGTCTTCTCGTATTTTTTTTGTCATGTCTACTTGAGAAAAATTGTTGTCTGATGTTTTGAATTGTATCTGCGGTGGCAAAATTGAATCTAAAATTATACATAGAATTAAATAACTACAATGTATTGATAATAGAAGAAACAAAAAGATTATCATGATTAAAAAGCCTCTGCATTGTTGGTTTGGTATAACATCAAATCAATTATTTCATATATTATTCAACAAAGAAATAATATTTATTATGATTTAGAACAGGGGTGTCCAACCAGCTGTTAGAAAGTTGCATGTGGCCCACAGTAGATTTTAATATGGCCCACTCTTAGATTTCAAATCATCAATTAATTATACATAATATTTTGAGAACAATTTAATTTAAGAATATAAAACTACAAAATATTAAAAAACTTTAAATATTGCTTAATATTATATTAATACATATAATAGTATATACTATTATATGAAAGCTTTATCTTTATTGGGATCCGATCGCGATAGATATAATGTAACTAAAATAACAATAAAATTATTTTAAAATTGATTTCTTTTAATCATAATTAAATATATTTTTTCTTGTAATTATAAATAAAATGCATTATTATTAAAATGTATGTGGCCCACAACAACTTCTACTTACATGATGTGGTCTAGTCTTAACAAAAGGTTGGATATCCTTGATTTACAACATCCAAAAGGAATAGGAACTCCAACAAGCAAAATAATACATTGATAGTTAATAAATGAAGATGTGAAACTACAAAACTGTAATAGTAATTAATTTTAAAAAAAAAATAACAGATTTGTCTATTATTGTTTTTTAAATGATTTAGATGTACTAATGAGTAATAAATATTAATTTAAATTGTATGATATTTTAAAATTAGGTATTCTGATATTCTTTTATAATATATTTATGGCATTCGTAATAAACTGCCTTATTTGAAATTTCACACAATAATATACTTATAACATGTAATAAATTATAATGATACAACTAATGTTTAAATACATTTTTTCAATTATTAAATGATTTTTAAAATTTATTAAATCTATTTCTAATCTAATTTGTTCTTTTTTTCATTTAAGAAAATATTATCTTATGTTGGCCAACAACATAAAATATTTAATTACTAATATCATTGCTATATTCCTATTATTATATCATGATATTGCTATATCGAAATTTAAATTTGATGTAAAATAGGTATATATTACACAATAACACAAGAAAATATTAAATAGCAGTTAATTATATATTTTTATTACTAATATACATATATAATATATATAAAATAAAATACATATAATTATATATATATATATATATTATAAAGATGTTTACGAAATTATAGATGGTTTTTAAATCAGTCATATTTAAAAATTAATTGTACTCTATAGTATATTTCATTAACTAATTTTAAAATGTTTAACTATATACAAGTGAAAAGAAATATTAATTATTACTTACCCTAAAAATAATATAGCAATTATTAGGGGGTCTATATAATATATACAAGTATTTAATAGAATTACCGTTATCTGCATTTGCAATTAATTTTTTGTCAACTTTTTTCCCCAAAAGATAGTCTTCTTTTTGTACTTGTCCACCATCATTATACATCCAATCCATTGTAACTTCTTTTAGTAAACCTTATCTAAAACTATGTAAGTATATTACTAGATTGGTATTAAAACTCAAGGATTCATTTATAGATTCAAAAAAATAATTTTTTATACGTTCGATGCGAAGCAATTATTATTAATATGTTACACTTTTATTGTAAAACGTCAAAACATAAAATACTTAAAAACAAAATTAATTTAGTAATATTGTAATAAACAGAAATATGTTTTTAAATTGCGCCAGGCATGCTGTGTTATTTTATTATGTGTTTACATTTATATTATCAAGGTCCACCGTGGTATCATCTTTAACCAAATAGATAACGGACATTCTTTTATCATAATATAATAAAACATTATATTTTCAACAAAATATAATACACAAATATGCAAATATAATATATTAATATGTAGATGCATATTTTTTTTTTTATTCAAATCGTTTAACAGAGGTAGATAAACGAAGAGGGAATTAGGACGATATATTCCTTCTCCATTATTGGTGTGTGGTGAACTAAATATTTGTAAGAAGCAAAATATATTTTGATCGACCCACTTCACTAATCACTAGTGATGGGAATAATTGGATGTTTTGTACTTAGGTAAGTTTAGGTTTAGTTACGGACTTAAGTCCAAACTAGTTTTATTCAAGTTTTATCAAACCACTTTTTGCGGGACTTGATAATACAATATTAATATCAGGGCTATAGATACTAGTATTAATTACTAGATTATTATTAAATATAAAACAAACATACAAGTTGTGAGACCAAAAATAAATAGTTCATTACTATAAACTGTAATTAGTGGTGAACAAAAAAAAGTTGAGTTTAATGTAGTACTTTTTTTTTACAAAAATTTGAATATGAAAATATGTTGACGAAAATTGAAATCTTTAAGACTTGTATAACCGAACTGTGCTCAGATTCGTTTTTCGTTAGCAATGATTAATCGTTGCGTACAAAAATACATTAAAGTCCATTATATACCCTATCTTCTCAAATTTTCACCTATGACAGTGGCTCATATACATCGCACGACGTATGCCCGTGTTATTTTAGTTATTTTAGAAATAAAAAGACGATTTTAAGGGGTTAAAAGAGGTAACAAATTCCATATTTCAAGTTAAGAATTACAACAAATTATTAAGTAATTTATGAGATAATTTTGAAGTCCATATTTCAACGTCAATTTCTAGGATAAATTAGTTCGTTATAATGACGTTTTTATAAGACCGAAAGCTATTTTTTCGTTTCTTTTAACATCTTTTCTAATCCTTCAATGCTCTGGACTCTTGCCAAAATCGAACTTTTTTCATTGCATATCTCAATTTGCAAATCCCGCAAATTTTCGGCGCTATGTAACTGTTCTAATTCTATTTTTTCAGTTATTTCATGCAGTTTTCTATTTAAATCGCAAATATCGTCTTGCAATTTTTCGTTTTTGTTGTTCGTCTTTTCCAACCGTTTCTTAGTGTCATCGATCTCTTTACGGATCGTCTCCTGCAAATAGTTACCTTTGTTGTTGTTTGAACTGCTGCCCATGTCTTTTTCGGTCAACATTTCTTTCAGTTTATTATAGTGCATCACGACACGCATGACGTCTACCCATTCATTCCGGGCGATCTGTTAAAAAAGAAGCGTATGAATACATTTACTGTATTACTAATTCGTTCAACCGACGACAGTCACCTTATAGTTTAATATTCCTTGTTGAATTTCGTTTTGCAAATCTCGCTTCATAGCTACTATGAGATTTTCTTGTTTTTCCTGCAGCCGACTTATAATTTTCCGACGTTCTCGCGCCAACAGTGCCAACAGCCTGAAAATGTCGCAAACGATATAAGAGTCCATAAAAATTATCACACTCAATACAAACAGAAAATAAATGCTTACATTTTAACTAAACATACAGGATAGGTCTTAGCTAACTCCTCAGCCATCTTGCTCGTGGGTTTTTCCATTAAAGCTCCTTGCCACATCATTTCAGTCATAGAGTTAGAGCAAGTCGATGCCGGATTAGTCAGGGTTAATATCGGAGAAGATGAAGCGACTTCTATATTGGCAAGATTTTTGTTACGATTTTCGATCTAAATATTTGTAATCAAATTTTAAAGAATTATCAAAATATATCGTACTTGTGGCATGAATAGAGAATAAATTATTATTATAAAGATATGATGGATAGATAGATAGATCATCAGTCGTATTTTTGCGTGTTTGAATATTGTCCAATACTCTAAAAAGAACCAATGATAAAAAATCCCTCAATATGTTCTCTCTCTCTCTCGTTAGATTAGGTAGTACCAATAGACCTCTAATATGCTATCTTTTTTTCCCAAAAAAAGCATGTTACCCTCAATGAAATCAGTATAGACGTGTCTTTTCCATTTATTTATAGTGAATTGCCCGTATTGCACGGGTTAAAACGGTCATTGAAATTTTTAAAATAGCTAATGCTAAATCATAAAAAATTCCTTGTAGAGATAATACAAAAACGTCTATTTATACTCATGTACTACTTGTAATATTTACAAGTTATACTACTATTATTAGCTAGTGACGTGCACATGTGGTATGACATTAAAAAGCGATTAGTGTTAAGTATAATACGATAATATTGTAAATGATTAATGTAATATATATGTATATAAAATGATTTGATTATATTTTCTTACATCATTCAAAATATGCTTGACTCTTTTCTTCAACAACGAAAGCATTTTTATCCTTTTGAATAAAACTGGATTAAATTTGTCACATGCCTTGCTATCATTCTAAAAACGTAACAAATTTTTTTATTATAACAGACACTATAAATTCATTGTTATACAGCGGTTTTCTGCTCACAATCAAATTTTCAAGAAGTTTTTTAACGTATGGGTCATGACAAGCCGTACTATTAGGATCCTGTTCACTCAACATCTCTTGTTCAATACTATTGTATACTCGTTGAAAAAATTGTTGAGTCAACACCCTAGCTTCCACAGATTTTCGCTTAGATAAAATCGCTTTGACTTCAACAGTAATTTTATACAATTTGTCATCGTGTTCGCTCTTATTATTCTGTGAATCGGGACTTTCCACTTGTAGGTCTAAAGGCTGAACAACTGGTGCCGGTCTAGAAACCAGTCGGAATTATTAAATTATAATCTTTAAGACTTTAAGTTACGTAGTTATAATACAAAAATTGGATTATTTTATAAATAATGTGTAAAGGTTGGAAAACAATGAAAAAAATATATACAATACGTTAAATAAATTATCTTACATCGGCTGCCCACATGTGTTCACCCATCCTTGATCTGTTTTTCCGCCCATCGTTACGGCCACGTACGCAAATATACCCGAATCTTCCGCTAATGTCTTGCAGGCTATATACGTACTACCGTCTATAGACAAGTGATTCATATCGATGACTTCTAATTCTCTGTTACGAACAAAATTATGCCAATTTTTTTGGTTCTTGCTTGTCTAAACACAGGTTTTTTATTGTTGTTATTTAAATATTGGTAGGTATTATGGTATTTATAAAATAATCAAACACTCACTTCTTGTTCATGTTCCACTTCTAAGGTCGGTTTGGTTGTGACGTGTTTAAATACACCGTCCAATGATAATTTGGCTGATTTGGGAGATTCATTGAACGGGGCACTGAGCTTTCTTTCGTTCATACTAATAATCAGTTGTGACAAATAGATATTCCGTATTTGTTTTTCGTTTGTATCTTTATACTTTTCAATAGCGAGTTTGTCTAACCATTTCTAAAAATGCACACATTTACGTTTAATAAATAAAACGAACTAATAAATTTATGTAGGCATTACTTGGCAGATTTCTTTGTCCCTTTCGGATTTTAACGAATCAAAGGATTCTTGAAAGTGATCTAAAAAGAATACGAAATCTTCTTCGACTTTTTCATCCAAACCGGTAGCCATCATTAAAACTATTGAATTATTTTAATAAAAATTCTTTAATATTTGTATTAAAATAATAATATGTTTATCTTTTTGTATTATTTATCAACTAAAATAAATAACATGTAATGATTTTCAGAAGTTAGTATGGCAACGAAACACGTATTATTTTGGCCAATTTAGTTATTTTATAAGTATATTGGAAACATAAACAAAATCATTGAAACAAAATTGTTGTTAATTTTGATTTGAGAGTTTTGCTCAGAGCTTTTTCCCATTTTTGATGAGAAATAATAGGAACATTAAACATTGACTTTGATGTCCCTATGCAATTTTAAACACTACATTTAACCAAACGAATCATAATAATCAATTAAAATAAATTGAATTGAATGCGATTGTTTAAACATTAAAATATATTTAAGTAGGAAATGTTAAATATAGTAATTTTAGGATAATCTAATATTTTGCAAAATGCGTGTGATAATTTATATCAATAACCATTATCCAAATTGTGTATAATAAAGCTAGATCGCGCTAGCATCTACCGCGGCGTAAGAAGCTGGTCCGGGTCTTACCGTAGACTTATAAATCATTCGTATCCAGTGTATCTTAATCCGTGGCCACATATCTATACTTATCTATGCGATAAGCTATACCATCCTTATCAGTGTTTCAAGAGGGACGGCAATATCGCATACAGTTTCATAAAGTGAGGCGTGGTAAATCACCTCAGTTTACCGCCCCTCTGAGAACATCGCCTCACTTGCATCCCTCCATGTCTAACCGGTTACTACCAAATTTACTCTAAAATAGACAAGACCAGTCTCTTAGTATAAGATCTATGTTTATATGCATTGAAATAGATTATAATATGTCTTGGTGATTATAATCACTGAACTATATTACAACCATTAGTATAACCATATAAGTATACGGTCTATGATTACAACATACACAACCTCGGTTATAAGTTTTATGGTTCCGGAACTAACCGAGTTAACGTGAAGCTCAAAACGTACATTAGTTTTCACACCAGCACACAGCGGTCCCTAGGTGATAAACGGTGTGACTGCATTAATAAATAAATATATTATTGTTCAAGCACCTACAGGTTACAGAAGTAAAATATAGTAAATAGTAATTATTATTTACTAATTAGTAATACAATAATATTTATGTTCGTGTTTACGAATACGAATAGGTATGCAATAAATAAATAGTCAGGTTCACAGTTCCCACTCAAGTATTTTTATTTATTAATAATTATTAATAGGTAGTACCTAACTATTTTATATATCAGTTAGAAATTTAGTTTTAGAAAGTGACCAATTTTGATAATTTTTTTTTTCATTGATTTAATCGTTTGGTTTCAATATTTTTTGAATAACAAATAGACTCTATGTCAATCTCCCTAAAATGTGAAGCACACGCCCTATAACTTTTTATAAGAACAGTTTTTAATGCATTTTCCCCATTTATTTTTTCCATGTTCGTTTTTAGGGACTCCGAGAGTGGTTTTTGAAACTTTACGTGGATATTTCACACGCAAATCAGCAATTTTCAAGAACTAAATGGAATACTACTACTGCTGTTTCAATTGGAATTTACCGCATAAATTCGCGCGGGAAAGCTATAGTTGTGTACAAATACTTATAGTTTATAGTACGTCATAATTCATTATGGTCTGCGTTATAAAATGTACAGCCGTGGTACAAGTTCTATTGAATACCGCAGATGGCGCGACAGATTTGTCATTTTGTTCGCCAGACTTTTTAATAACGTTCCGGCTCGGCGTATTGTGTAGTTTAGTGTAGGTCGTCGCGCGACAATATTATCTATAGCCGTGCCCTGAACCGTACGCTGTAACATGTTATTATGTAGTTCAATGGTTGTAAAATACGTCCGTGTACTGATTACAGATATAGATAATGGATTAATAACTGTGGACCGCGGCTATAGATAATAGCCGTGCTGCGGACTTTGATACCGACGGTATTACAATTGATAATAGTCGAACGACGTACGCCATTTTTTGCGTATCACAAAGTTGCTGACATATCTATTTACTTTATCACGGTGAAATGGTGTGTAATTGGTAGTACATATTACGGTGGTCGTAGGTGTACGTTCTTTTAGCCGTGGTCGTCACTCGCAACTGGGTTCGTCAATTACTGTTTTTTTTCATTATTTTTTCGGACCGGCACTACGCCGCTCTGAACTACACGGTTCGAAAATTCACGACCACGGCCTACGGGTACCGACAATAATTTTTACCGTCTCTGTAAAAACTATTCGCCAATTTAACGTGTTCCACACTACTATTATGTGAAAGCGTGCGTTCGTTCGATAATCATACTAATTTTCATAGTAAGATGACGAATCCGTCTTTGATACTTCCACAGTACCATAAGTACCTCAATGGCGCGCCCGTACCGTTTAGCAGGCGGACCAGGAGGAACAGTGAATTCTGCTTGGTCGCGTTGGTGTTCGTTTCGCTGACCATTATATGTTTCGGTGCCGTATTCTATTTGCCCGAATTTAAGGCTTCGTACGGCGGGACCATTAACAATGTCTATAAGCACATCCAGAACGCAGGGCCCGAATTGTTGTTGCCGCCCCACGGAAATGCGAAACACGACGGTGTACTGGAAGATCCGCATGCAGCTTGGGACAAAAAAGCATTATTCGCGAAGATCGACGAGGATTATTTAGATAAAAGAAAAGTATTGGAAAGACCAGATACGGGCGATGCTTTCAAACAGAATATTAATGTTAAAAATATTAGTTTCTATCCCCACGCCGAATCAATTGTCGAGCATAATGACATCGGTCAGAACAATGAAAATATCGAACTTCGACAAAGACGAGACAAAGTCAAAGAAGTGAGTTCAATTTTGTATTTATATGTGGTATGTGGTCCACTAGTATAAATAATATTTTAACTCCGTTAAATTGTTAATTTAGCAAAATGTATTTTTATGCAAAAAGAAAAACGTATTCCCCCATCCCGTCTACATTAAAATAGGAATGTTTATATCATTTTAGTTGTTGTATTAAGAAATATTAGTTACGTTTATACCGAAAAGGTTAACGCAATCAAAAAATAATGCATTTATTCTTACATTTAATAAACTTGTATGGTACTGGAAAAAGACTAGAATATTGTTAAATCTTTTTTATTATTATCTATTGGTTTATATTCAATTACAGAAACTTACTATAACAGCAGTACGAATATTGCTTTATATCATAATATTATGGGTTTAATGAATTCTTATACTTGTATAAGCAACAAAAATATTTTCAAATCGTAAGATAAATATAAATTGTTTATTTCACCATCTAGCTTCCTTAAGAATGCAATGCACAAACAATAAGTTAATTTTGACTGGAGATCTTGGATGAACTATAATTTTTATTTTTTCCTCACAGACTAAAGTGTAAGGTACATACCATAATTTAATACATTATTCATTATTATCAGTTATCACTAATAAAATTGTTAAATGTTATAAATGTATTATGTATATTTTATTATTGCTGATAAATTATGCATTATTATAGATATGTTATTTGCATTTTAACCCGTAGTTTGGAAAATGGAAAAAAATATTGAAAATAAAAGCTGGTAATTAAGTTTAAAAAATTTTGTTCCAAAGCAAATGTAAATATTGGTAGTCCAAACATGAATTAAATTTAATAATTAATTTGATAATAGGTAGGTAACCAACATTTTTTTTTTTTTGTTAAAAAAAATATATGACATTTACAATCTGTATATAAATAAAACAAATACAATAAGCAAATATGAGAACAATTTATGACGGAAAGGGACAATGAGAAGGGAAGCTATCCAGTGATCAGACCCTATGACATTACTCTTTTATTATTTTGCATTTCTGTTAAGCTAGCGCTTTTTTCAAATTAGTAGGTCTCGACACCAACGTCTTTTTAGACGACGAACAATATTTTAAAATAAAAATCTGATGTATTTAACACATTTTATAAGAAATGTTTTATTTAAATGATAGATAGGTACTTTCATTTTAAACATAACTTTTGATAAATTATTATTGTTTTAATTTTGATTACTGAACAAATAACAGCTGTGCTGCACAAATATAGAATATTGACTCTGGGTTGATTCAATAAATATGTTTGCTGAACCTGCGAAAAAAAGTAATGGGGACTCTTAAAAATCCTTTAAACATTGATTAACAAATAAAATGTTTTTTATTTAAAATTGTCTGGATATTTATGTTTTAAGTTTATAAACTTAACATGTACCTAATGCCTACCTATTTAATTATTTTAATTATAAATTTATTTTGTTCTTTAAAAATAAAATTATTATTTTTAATTAAAACTTTAAGTAATTATATTATTATAGTTGAAATATTGTCTCTTTTTAAAAAATGTCAATCTTAATAATTAATTTTTTTTTTTTAGATGATGAAACATAGTTGGGATAGTTACGTAAAATATGCATGGGGTAAAAATGAATTAAAGCCAGTATCAAAACATGGTCATTCTGGCAGTGTATTTGGATCAGCAAATATGGGTGTTACTATTGTGGATTCATTGGATACACTGTTAATTATGGGCTTAAATGACGAATACAAACTTGGAAGAGATTGGGTTGCTAATAACTTTACTTTAGAAAATGTGGTAAGAAAACTATTTTTAATTAGATGTATTTATTTTGACCATTAAAATCTATTAATCACTTTATCCATGTAGAATATTATAATGGTAGCCAATAAATTTTAGGAGATTTTATGTATATACTAGATTATGTTAAATTTCCATTCTTATTATCTATTAATGTTTGATACAGTTTAATAAGTTTGATATTTAACTTAATAAATGACTATATTATAACTTGGCTTATAATTTAAAATATATTTATGTAGGTATTCTAATTATTTAACTATTTAAAATCAATGATTGACAATTAATTGTATTCAAGATTTTAATTTAAAAACAATTTTTAATTTGAATGGTATTAAAATTTAAAAAAAAAAATCTGATATTGTGGTTGGGAGCGACCACTGTTGTAGGTGAGATGTTGGAAAGGTAGGATACATAAGGTTATTTCATTTATCTGTAAGCAATGATAAACCATTGCTTGACGAAAGATGATTCCGAGTGCAGTTTGGTAACACATAATTTGAAGTGCCTTAATTTTTTTTTGAGATTTTCATTTAAATTTGATTTCAAAACACTATCCAGATCTCTACATATTTTTATAACTGAATTATAGCCAACAAGCTCCTAAAAATTAAAATTTCTTAAAAGCTCAAAAGTTTTAATCATGATATCGTAAGAAAGTAAATTAAAAGGGCAACAAAAAAGATATCTTGCTATAAATCATTTTTTCTGTTAGAAAACATCATCCGTGTTTTTATAAAATAATGAAATTGTGGAATTGTATGTTTCCCTATGTTTTTTCTCACTTAAGTGATTTTCTTTAATTAATGACGTTGAAAATCAAAAAAAAATGACTTCTTTAAAATACTTTCTAGACAATTCGAGCTTTTAGAAAAGTTGCTACACATAATAATCAAAGTAAGTTTACCAAGAAAAAACGTGTTCACAGACTAGAAAAAAAAAGAAAGAAAGAAAGAAACATCATTGTAAAACCAATAGTTCCCTCACTATGCTCGGAATCTAAAAAGTCCTTATAAAAGAAGGGAAGGGTATGAATTGGATTGTTTAATTTTTTTATTTTGAAGAGCAAAAATAGATCATTGTAATTTCTTGATTCTAATGCTTAAACTCAAAATTATAATTTAGATGATTGCTCATGAACTTCCTTTATTTGAGTATTTAGAATATAATGACCTTTTTTTAACCATTTGATTAAATAAGAAATTGTCTAATACTTTATGTTAATTAATATTTGAATTAGTACAATTTGTATACAAGGATACTGAACTAATCACTGATGAATCATATAGAGATCAGTCTTCTCGATTTGTCTTGTTAACTGATGTCAATATAAATTATTTCTTCTGTGCATTAATCAAGATTATTTACACAATAGTAGATAATTGTGATACTAATCATTTACAGTATTTTATTATTATTGTTACAGAAAATAGATATATCAGTTTTTGAAACAAATATTCGTTTTATTGGTGGTTTTCTTTCTTGCTATGCTATGACGGGCGATACTATTTTCCGTGATAAAGCAGAATATGTTGCAAAAAAACTATTGCCTGCATTTAAAACTCCTACTGGAATTCCACATTCATTAGTTAATTTAAAATCTGGGGTAAGTATTTGGTTTATTTATAACTACAGTAATTAACGAGTTTTATGGAGGATGTATTAAGTTTGTGTTTTGTTAGATGATGTCTTAAGAACATTTAATTTTTATATTGTTAAAGTCAAATGAAAGAAAAATGTATATAATTTATTTCAAATTTTCTATAATAATAATAACAACTTTATTGCATTTAAAAAAATACATATATTATACAAGTATAAATTTGATTTAAATGATTGTCTCCAAGAAGCCTAGGCTTTTTTATTTTAGTTATTCGTTTTTTTTTATTATTATTTTCAATTGCTTGTATTATATAATTACAATATTTATCTCTTTTGGTTACATCACTACCCTCAAGTAGCATAATTTATACTATCAATATATATATACATTAATGTATATGATTTGTAATTATATTTAATAATATTATGTATTTTTACATATTTTTTTTTTTCATTTAGAACAGCAAGAATTTTTTATGGGCTAGTGGTAGTAGTAGTATACTATCAGAATTTGGTACTTTACATTTGGAATTTGTATATTTATCTGACATCACTGGTAATGATATTTATAGGCAAAAAGTTGAAACTATAAGAGAGTTTGTAAGAGGTCTCGATCGACCTAATGGGTTGTACCCAAATTACTTAAATCCCATAACTGGGAAATGGGGCCAACGTAAGTATTTGAGCATTTTTTTCACTATTCAATCAGAAAGTTCAATTTGTTTAACAATATATCTGTGTCAAATTTTATCAGCACTCATATTAAAAAAATATATTATATTGTCCATTATATAATACACTAATGTTTATAATAGGTTTTGTTTTTTTTTATTAATTCAAATTAAAATGAAAAGGGTGTGATTATAATTATTTTTATTTTGTCTATTCTTTTGTTTATCATGTTATGTTTTTTGTATTTTATATGAAAATTAGTTTCTTATTCAAAATTCAAATTATCATTATTTGTTTCATCTTATTTTTTATTCAAACATCATACCAAATACATTATTAGGTACCACTTAAAAGTTGAAATATTTCCATTTTTTATTAATATTAATACATTTATAGTAATTAACAATTGTTTTTCTTAAAGGAATAGCAATTTAATTCTGAAAGCTAAGTATTAATTTATTACTTTGTATTGTTATTTTTATAATCCCTGAGGAATATAATATATTTATTGCCCTCTTAATAATAATAATAATAAAAAGTATTAATTTTTAATTATTTATTGATATTTGTTTAGTATATGATTACCAAGCAAACACCGAGTTTACCTGCTTGTATAAACTATTAATAATTAAATAATTACCTACTCTTTTTTCTTTACATCATTCTATTTGTATTCATATTTATACTGTATTGTTTAGGTCATGTATCACTTGGTGCCCTTGGGGATAGTTTTTATGAATATTTGTTGAAAGCATATATACAATCGAACGGTAAAGATTTAATAGCGCGGGATATGTTTGATGACGCTATGGCAAGTGTAATGGATAATCTGGTACAGACATCTGCATCTGGACTTACATATTTAGCTGACATGCGTTTTGACCGCCTTGAACATAAAATGGATCACTTAACGTGTTTTGCAGGTATACCAAGTTGAAATTTTGATATTAAATTTTTTTTTTTTTTTTTCATAAACAAATTATAAAAAAAATTTTAGTTCTAACTTAAATGTTATTTGTACAACTATAAAAAAACTTTTATTTGGTAATTTAAAAAATAATGTTATTGTAATTCAGGTGGAATGTTTGCACTTGCTGGTGAAAGTCTAGGTAGTGATTCATCCAAACACTATAGTGAACTTGGAGCTAGTTTAACAGAAACATGTCATATAGCTTATGATAAAACAGCTACTAAATTGGGACCTGAAGCTTTTAGGTTTACAGATAATAACGAGGCAGTTGCAGTACGCGGCAATGAAAAACATAACATTCTTCGACCTGAAACAATTGAATCATATTTTGTGTTATGGCGCTTGACTCATGATAATAAATACAGAGAATGGGGATGGGAAGCCGCACAAGTAAGGTCTATTTGTATTTCTAAAAAAAAAAATTATTCTTATGAACTATAAATAATTATAAAATATGCCAATTTTTCAATCCGATTACTTTTTAAGATGCATATAATTAAGTTATAATTTTTTTCAAAGGCTTTTGAAAAATACTGTAAAGTATCAGGAGGATATAGTGGAATTAGAGATGTTTACCAAATAGATACAATTAAAGATGATGTTCAACAAAGTTATTTCTTAGCAGAGACTTTAAAAGTATGTATTTGAAAATAAAAACTATAATAATATAAATTTAATAATTTTTTTTTTTTAGTATTTATACCTGTTATTCAGTGATGATAGTCTCATTCCACTGGATAAATGGGTATTTAATTCAGAAGCTCATCCACTTCCTGTTAGAGATCAAAACTCTCTGTATCGAATGTATCAGTCTGAAGGAGTTGTATTATAACTGTTATAAATTATATAACGTAATAATATATGAACACAATTAAAATACCAATTCATTTATTTGAATGTTGAATTGAAAATATATAGGTATTTCAAAAGTTGAATTTTAGTTTTATGGGAATATTTCAATTTCATGAAATTAATATTGGAATTGAATATTTTTGTACTATTATTATGATTATTGAAATTTAAAATATATATGATGATATAATAGGCTTGTTTAAATTGTACATAACAAAAATGGATGGTGATTACTTTTGTTTATTACCAACTATAATTCATTTTGTTATGACAATTTATATGGCTTTGTATCTTTATATTATATATATGTGTAGAATTTTTTTTAAATTGAAATTGACTATTTTAAAACAACTTTTTTATGATTGCATACAATTAATTTTCTGTGATACTAAATTAATATCTGTAGATATAATTCAAATTTTTAATTAATTGTTTATAACATTTTTTTTTCTGTTTAAAAATACTTAGTTTTCTTTTTGTTTTTAATACATTTTATTTGTATTATTATATGTATTTTATATCTGTTCTTTATGAATAAGTTCTAATATTGATTTATTTTTAAAAAAAAAACAACTTAATTAAACACTTTTAAAATCTAAATAGTATACACCATTCTTTGTTTGCTTGGGTAAATATAGAGAACATTTGTAATTATCTATTCTTAGAATAGATAATCAAATGTTAAAAAATGTATTCAAAATATTGATTGAGTAGTATTACATAATAATTTAAATCAATTGAAGATGTAATGTTAATTTAACGTTTTTATATATTTAAAATTTGTAGAACGAATATATAATGGTGATATATTATATTTTATTATAAATTATCCTAAACAAACATCTTTGATGACCTTTAGTTGTGAATTTATTAGTTACATATTGCATGTAGTTAAAGGTAACTAAAAATAACTATAGTATTATAATTTTGTGTTTGTACAAAAGGTGCACATATTAGATTTTTCTATGCATATTTTGGTTGTTATCAAAATTATCAGTGGCGCCCAAACTATATTTTCATGGTTTAATAGAGTTTGAAATTCAAAAAACATCATCTTTCTCAAAAACCTTTACCTATATAAATATATACTTTCCAACCCCTACAATCTACCACTTTGAATGTTTTACCCATTCTATCTGACTATACCAAACCCCAAATTATTGATAACATCCTACCCACCCAAAATATAATGTGCATCAACTGCTACATTCAAAGTATAGTTTGGGTGCCACTGATTATTATTATTAATGATACCTGTAATTTTTGTAACTAAGTGGTGATTATTGATCATATTTTTTTTAACCAAGGTAATAATTAATCTGTAAACTTAGTAATTTTCAAGTATAAAAAAACCTAAAATTCATAAATATTGATCATCACACAGAAACACTTCTAAATAATGTATACAATAATATGTATAAATAATTAATATTCATATACTTATTGTGCAACAGCACGTTTCTTATATTCTGAGGTTTTTCAGTTATATCCTAAACCTTTTTTCTTTTAGTATAATTAAAATCGTTCTGGCTAATCATTAGAGTATTGGTAGATTTCAATAAAAACCTCGTTTGTTAAATTTGTTTGCGCTGTTGTGATAAAAATAATTTCTTTACATTAATAGAAAGTACTCCTATAAATGTATATTCTAATTATTAATATAATTCTATTACTATATTATTTGCATTTATACTTTTAATACATAAAATTAAATTTATAATGCTCAATAAGTATTACAAATTATCTAAAATATTATTTTACAAAGGTTTAATGTAAATTGTACAATTAATTGTTTTATTTTTTTTACTCGAAGTGACAAAAAATGCAGCATTGTATATTTTTCTCTGTAACAATAGTAAATAGTGTATACTCTACAAACTTGGTATAATATTCTATATCAAATAAATTACTTGTGAAACAACTATGTATTTAATTTTAATAGATTATTTATTAGTTATTACCGTAACACTAATAATTGGGTTTATTCTTTTATTTTATCTTTTGGGTATAATTATTTGCGGTGGTATATATTTTGTTATTAATTGTTTACATTAAGATATTTTTTTGATTTAATGATTTTTTTTGTAAATGAAAATTACAATATTTAATAAATAACATTCATGCACGTTATTGAAATAAGTTAATATTTCCATCAAATATATCCCCACTTGCTAATTGAACAAGTACATATTATAATTAATTACTAACTATTTTAATAACATAGTACCATATAGAATGATTTGTTAAATATGTCTGATTTTTTTTGTATTATAAATTTTTTGAGTTTTGCCCACCACAAAATGTTATGTATCCAGTATATTTTGTCAGTTTATTTGTGCAGAAATAAAGTTTTGCTTGTACAGCATGTACAAAATCAAATATCGAGAGCTGCGAGCCAAAACCTCATAACTCAATTTTTACAAATTGTTCAGGACAGTTATAAAACGTTTGTTTAGTTATTATTTAATATCAGAATTCTAATTAATTACTAATTCAATTATTTATAATGTACTTAATTAGTTTATACACATCATAATTTTTACAGTGCATAAAACATTAAAAAAAAAGATTTATTAAGTAAAAAAAACAATATTTGAAAAATGTCAGTCACAAGGTTTTTGCAAGCAGCTGTCAATATGTATTTTTATATTTTAAAATAATAGTTCAATTACATAAATAAAAAATAAGAAATTGTTAATTTAAGCACCTATTCATAATATAAATTAAGTTTTTTGTTTTCTTGTAGTTCATTAACTACCATTTATTGTTTGTACAGTTTAATTTCTTATTAGCTATACAACATTATAGGTTTTTCTGTTACATATAATTATAATTTATTTACTTTTTAATATTTTATAAATACAATTACTTGAATTGTAATTTATGATAAATTTTATATTGTTCAAAACGAATAATTTAATATTATGTTTGCATTTATTTTCAAAGTGTAATTGATTGTACAAACTAAAAATAGTAAAGAATGTATATAATAATATAATAGCATAATATGAATGGAAATAATTGACTTTTGCACTAATACTATATATTAATTATTATTACCTATAGAAATTTGTTGAGTAACTAAATTATAAATTATATTTGAAGTGTTATTATGCTTTTAGTTGATTTTAGATAAAAATTAATTTATAAGTGTGTTAAAAATGAATTTGTTAAAAATAAAAATAGTTTTTTGCATTTTATACTACATTAAAATATTATGTTAAAAAATTGTATAAATTAAAATGTATTTACTATTTTAAAAATATGTTCAAACACACTTACCTACATTTCTTGTTTAATAAAATATGTTTCAGTTTGTAAACTATTAATATTACTATTTATTTATTTGGTTAATAAGATATTTTATAAGAATATTATTATTATGGATAATATTTATTTTGATAAAATAACATACAGATTACAGATATTAGTTCACAATATTCACAACTACAACACAATGACTGAATTATTTTAATTTCATAATAAATTCATACAACTAAAGGAGCCAGAAATACATAAATATGATAGTCACATAACAAAATTTATTATCATAGACAAAGATTTTATAATCAGTTTGTTTGGGGATAGTTTTGTAACGGTATTCTTTCCATTTTATAATGTAAAAGCTTATTGCTGGAGAACTATTGTGAAATTTGCAATAATTACATAATCTGGTCATGGACATTTTAATAGCAAAATGTTATATTTTGTTTTATTTATCAGTTGTGATCAGATTTCAATTACTCTTTTTAACATTTTCTCGAGATTTAAGGCATACAATAATTAAATTCAAAAAATATTTGTACATTTATACACACCTTAAAGAGGTATTAATATTTAACATTCAATACTCTAGGCATAAAATATAATTGTTAAAATATTTTTAACAACTTAAGTTGGTAGACCTGTGAATTCTTCACAATATTTCTTTTCTCGACTTGGTCAAAACATTCTGAAGATTTTTTAGTTTTTATTTGGATAAAACTAACTGGCCGAAATGAAATATTTAAAAGATTTACGTAAGGTTAAGTTTATGCACGCATAATAGTTTAAAAATGAAAATTGTGCGTAATGTAGAAGATAGTATTTGTTTTTATACGCGTTTAAAGTTAAATTTTTGACGAAAAATTACAGTGTTTCAAAACATGCATAACTGAACTTCGCTCAGAATCGATTTTCGTCAGCAATAATTTTCGTTGCTTACAGATATAAATTATGTATCCATTCTTCCCACTTCCCAACACCTACAACAGTGACACATCCGTCCCCAGTATCGGCTCTTTTTTTTTGTTTTGATTTTAGATCTATTTAGATGTATAGATATTGTATAATATGTTGCACAGCTGACAATACATACCGCATATACAAATAACAGAACTAACGGACATTTACTATTGTTTTGCGCAAACAAGTTTTTGACAACGTGACGTCGTTATGACAATACACGCACGGCTGAATATATAAATAAGTTTGATTTCGTTTGATCGCTGCGGAAATATAAATTTAAATAGGTGTCTACCTACTGAGTTTTAATATTTACATATAATAAAAAAAAACAATCCGTGTTTTGGTAGCTCATGATTTGGTGTTAGGATATGAAACACACAAAATTATATACAGTTCGATATTTTAAATGTAGGTGTATTCTAGTTTCAGAAATCGGGCATTAATATTGATATTCTCAGAACCGACTAATCATCATTAAATAGTAAATACTAAATTCTGAACAGTTCCATGTGACGGCTGGAAAAAAACAAAACAAATCATAGTCAAATTTACTTAAAATATTTGCAGTAAATATGGTCTTTGCAAGCAAACGAAACAAAAATGAATAAATATTCGCTAATATTATAACATCCTTATGTCATATGATTCCAGAGTAGAACTCATTTCTACGAAACTGTAAAAACATAATTACCTATTTAAAAACGATTTTATAAAATATGAAAAATGCACGCGTATTCATTAGCGTTAATATTTTTAACGGGTTGTATATAGTGTATTTTCAAATCTATAATATATACAGAGTGTCCTACAGTGTTGTCTTTATGCTAATAGCTCTGTCAATATTCGTTTTTTTTTTTTTTTTTCTATTGGGTTTTGTGCGAGAGGGGCACATATTTAATAATAAATACATTTTTATTTTCATTTATGTGACCAAGAAAGTCGTTTTTTGATTTTCTTTGAAGTTTTTTTTAATAATTGAACAATTTTGTTACGATTTACAATGATAGCACTTTTTCTAAAAAGAAATCTCACTGGGGAAGTACTTTAGAGAGACCGTTTTTCGATCTGCCTTGGAGTTTTCTCAACAAATTAGAAAAACCGGTAGGTACATATAAACCGATATTGCCTGTCATACCAGAAGTGGGGACGGAGTTGGACAAAAAAAGGAACTAATACGAAACTAAAGTGTATGTGTGCTCGTGTGCGTGGTCGTGTTAAGAGTGTAGCTGATTCTGGCCGCGAACTGGCTTTTTAATACTACTATCGAAAGTTTTCGATGAACACCAATAGTCGGCAGTACTAAATAGGTAATTATTTTTATAAATAGGAAATCGGTTTTATCTTACCTATTAAACAGTTGAACTTGAGCCTATGCGTTTGTAAACTATTTGCAAAACCTTCAACTACTCCATCATGTTAGTTGAAGTTTTATTCCAATTCATAAATCATTCGTTGCCCCGAACAGTATTATTTTTATTTATCGTCGACCTTTGGCAAACGACACAGTATTTATTCTATATTCCAACAAACAAGACTTTTACTTTTATGTCCAATAATACTAGCCATAAATATAGGTAATGATTACATTTTATTTAATTGTTTATTACATCCTAGGATTTTTTAGTAGGTAATAAAACAAGGCGTTACAATTTCATTATTTAAAATTTTTACAATTTATGTTTTCTACAAAATATATTGCACCAATTGAAAAATGACAAGATATATTTTTGTAGTTTTAACTATTTAGTAGTTTTAACACAAAACCGAGTGTAGAATTTACATTAAATATATAATTTCTAACTTACCGTAACTATCAATAAATTTTATTTAAACATCAATTGTTGTTATTTTAACCTTATGTGTTTACACACTTATCGGAGGGTTGGCTTTATTTTCACCACCTTTGAATATCACGTATAACCGCCACTGGCCAAGTTTCTCTGGACATTACCCCCCCCCCTCTTTCAATCCAAAAGTATTCCACCGTACTAAAAATAAAAAAAGTTCATAAAGACGCTTTAAAAATAATAGAAATAGGGTTTCTCTAAAGTTAAAAAAAAAAGCAGATCGAAGTTGAGTTACATAATTTTTCGGATGCGGATGTGGAGTATTATTCTACAGGAATAATTTTATTGATCTCAACGATATAGATAACGAACTAAAAATCCTAAAGAAGAAGAAAAACCATACAGGCTATTCGCCGATATTTCCATAGGAGATAGGTATTCTATAAAATGTATTTACAACGGGCCGCAGGTGAAACAGATACTTGTGAAAGATACGTGCGTTTAATATAAAAACGACGCCACTGACCGTTTAAGTGCCTAACCACCTGTTTTTAGACATATATTTTGGTCGTCCGCCGCACTCGGGCACCCCTAACATTTCACAGTAGATTTGACGAGACCTGAACGAGTTGGTAGGAATAGGTCTCTTGAGTTCTGTAGGTTTTTTCGATCTGTTTAAAAGCCGATTATTGTGAATCTCGGATTTTCTAATAAGCTAATAGATTTAACCGTCCAAAAGTGCGAAGTATTTTAAAAGAGAATTGGATATTCACACAAGTGTCACAAGTTCCACGTTCTGAATGCGTAAGATAACGGGTTTCGAGAATCCAATACTTTTAAAAGTTTCAATTTCTCCTTATCATTAACTTTGACGATGGTCATTCTCAAATGAACCTTGCTCAGATCGATACTTAATTTTCTAAAATCCGTGTTCGTTTCGAAACCGTCGCCCGTAACACGTAGCGCGTTAAAATCAGTAGACGCTCGATTTAAAATCAACTGCTAATTAAAATTGAGTAGGTAATATTTTTTTATAATCTTCACATAAATCGAATACATATTTTAAAGATAAACATCCGGAAATTTAACGTCGGTCATAAATTATTTATTATCACCCACGGCCATATCAATATCCCAGGCGGAGTTTTGTAGTTCATATAAATCGTCACGTGTAAACGAACAGTATGTGCTCCAGCCACCCTTGGAACCAAAATTCTGCGCACGCCTATGCGTACATCGTGAAATTAATAACAATTATTATTGTAACGTGCATTATTTGTTTTATAATATTTAATATTGCATTGCTCGTGGTTATAATGAAACTAATTTCGGGGGACTCAAAAATGGGTCTACGTCGTCGTCGTCGTCGTCGTGTGCTAAATACAATATGTCCGCCTGTACGTATCCTTTTATGGCATTAAAGAACTACAAAATATGATACGATAATATTATACAGGTGCCTATCTAAGTACTGGCTAAGTACGTATGTTGCGTAACTATGAGATTATAATATTTTATAATATGTGTATCGTCATTTACAACGAAAAGTTGAATAGTAGGCATGTCTGTAATACGTATACAACTTTATAGTGTATAAAAGTATACACCTAACATTATTGATGTCGTTCAATTCATCATGTTGTTATTTCGGCAATCTCGTTTTTGATAAAATGTCATCATATTACACCTATACAGTACACACTCATCGGTGAGTCGTATTTACAGGGTGATCCATTTATCATGTACCGGCGTTTTTCGCGGAGGATTGCATTCGATTTATGTGTTTTTCAATCATGATGGAATAGTTTAAGATTTATTTTAACACTACCAATTTTAAATTTTTTATCCTTATACCGTAAATTGGGTCGTTTTAATTGGCCCATTTCGCCTCCGCCTCATTTTGCTGCATAATTCTCAAATTATTTTTATTTTAAAACATGAATTGAATTTGTGGTTAGTAAAACAATAGATGGATACAGTGGACGTACGAGACTAGATAATACATAATACATTCGAAATAAATATCGAAACAATAATTGTTGGTAGATAATACCTATAGGTATTATCATTGTTATTGTAATAATTGTACAAATCAAAATGCTGGGGCAGTTTATGACATGAATATTATGGCTTGAAAAAAATTATTAATTTGTTTTTAACTGAGTATAGTTAATTTTATTTCCCATCTTAACTTTAAACTTATAGAGTTAAATTTTTTCTTTGTTAACTTTTAACTGAAGGAAATTTAATTGAATTAACTTAAATTTTAACAGTTAATTATTTTCACTAACTTGCCCACCTTTGGTAATTTTTAACTTATATTTTGTGTTAAGTTACTTGAAAAATAAATTCACAGAAATGGTACGGCGGTGAAATGAGAGCTGATCGTAAATTGTAAGTATAAACGCTATTTCCAATATAGATTCGGCTAGAGAATTCTTCATATTTTTAAATGAACAACAATATCTACATTATTGTATTTACCGTATATGAATATTATAACAGTAAAACAGTTTAAAATTTAAATCGAATGTGTTGGGAGTAGAGAAGGGTTAACAATACACTATCTAAAAATGGATGTGAAGTTTATTGGGTACTCTTCCTTACTCCTCTGGTCCAAACTTTAAACTGTTATGCAGTTACACCTCTATAACTCATAAACGGTTAACCGGTATGTAAAAGTATTGTCTATTCAAATCTTTGTTTGAAAGAAGCGGTTCCTATTTGAAAATCAAAACAAGTGTATAGTCAATCGAGGTATAAAATAGAATACAATTAACATTTAATAATCATTTTAAAGTACATACTGTTAAAATAAAGTCTCAATAATTCCATCATTATGATTGAAAACAAACAGAAATCAAATTCACATGAAATTCTCAAAGAAAACCGTTTTTTATTATGAGTTAAATAGATTACCCTGTATACCTAACGCAGATGTACCGTCGACAGCACGTGTCAGGTGTGAAAAAATATATTTTATTATAACGATTTGTTATACACGTCGTCGTGTGTAGTGTCTAAAAGTACCGGTATAAACTATAAACTCGCTATTTGTGTACTAAAGATTTTTCAAAAAGACATACATACTCGTACTATACACTAATGTCGCTGTACATATGAATTTTCTGTTTTTTTTTTTTTTTTTTTTTTTTTTTTTTTTTTTTCTATACAAAAATGTAGTATAGTTATTGAATCGTACAAAATGACTGATTAATTTTCAAAACAAT